TCCTGTGTTTTCAGCTATATCTACTTAGATAAAAGTTTGTATAAAAATTTCTTTAACCGACTGTCTTGAAAATGCAAACAACAAAGCCATTGGGAAAGAAAATTAGTTTAAAAGAGATTGCATTGATGTTTTGGTACAGTTGTATTTCAGTGGGCATCATGAGCTCTCTTTTTAACACATCTGTTTTAAAATGTATGTGATGATGAAACGAATATTGTCACTAATAATTTCAGATCATGACTGTTTATTATTGTCGCTGCCATAAAGTCTGTGACTTTATCTTAATGTCATTTAAAGAGACCTAGAGAAAAAAGACTTATCCTTTGAGATTCTCTTTTTTTTTTTTTTTTTTCCTCTACAGATTGCAATAGTGTTATTTTTCTGGTTCCCCAGTCCATTGTGGATTACTTAATTAGAGCATGCAAGGTTCTCAGAGTAGTAATCTGTGTTTTATAGAAAACTCTGCAGTAAGTATTATTGCAGATTACAGACTCAAAAGACATCCAGGTAAAAGCATACATCTTGTCCTTATATTCTGAAGAAGAATAACCCTTGCCTGCAATTAAGTGCAGCTGGTCAGAGCTAAAGGTCTGGCTGTGATAGATAGGGAAGTGTCCATTTAATAGTGCATCCTCAACAGCAAACTGCTTGGGATTTCTGTTGTACCTTTTTGAGTATGACTTAACAGATGGGGGTCAGTGTTTGGGTTCTTTTTTTAGACTTCATGTAGGCAGGGTTGACTTGTGTCCAAAGGATAACTCTTGGGATATTCCTTTCCTGAAAACAGCCTATCACTGTACTGCTCTGCATCCAGCATGATCTCAGAAAGGGTCTTCTCTAGAAAAACTGAACAGACCTTTCTGTTTCTAGGAATAGAAATGTATTCATTAGAAAGAAATCCATTCATCACCTGGCTGTGACTGACTGGCTCTTGTTTAAGGTTGTTCTGAGAAGTCTGGGAAGTCTTCAGCAATTCTGCTGTAGGGTTGTGCTTGCCAAATAGTTACAGCTTTATCTCTCAGAGGCTGGAGGGGAAAGAAAACAAGCAACAAACCAAACAAAAAAGAGGATTGGGGTTTTCTGAAAACATGGGTGATTAATGTTAGTTGGCAAAATGTAAATACCTCTTTAATAACAATACTTTGATTAAGGCTTTAAGAAATAAATCTCCTCTTCTAAAAGTACAGCTCTTTATTGCTTCATCCAAGGCATGTCATTCTTCTCTGGAAGCTGTCACTTTAAAGTGTAACATCTGTGGGAGTGATTAATGTCTCTGATGTATCTTCACTGTACTTGAAATTAATCCTTGCAAAAATGTGGCAATAAAAATGATTGCTCCCAGTATTTTATGGAAGGGATGCAGAGGGAAAAACCCAACCCAGAACATAGAGTCAAAATAGGACTATACCTTTTCTTACAGGTTATTAAACCAGGCTTTCATGTGTCTTAAAACAACCCAGATAATTCTGATATCTTATCTAATGGCAATTTACCACTGCCTTAATCAGTCATTGGGTAAGGTTTGCAAATAGTCTTTGAGGGAATAAAGAGAACTTCTGTTTCTTCTCTCTTGTTAGGTGAGTGTCTTAATTGTTTGGTTACAGGTCATGCTTCTGCCTCTCTAGTCCCAGTAAATCATGGATTATTCCCTTGCAGTAGATGGCAGGAAGATGCTCTGCCCAGGAATGCTCTCTAGTTGAATGAATAGAAAGTTCTTCATGGACTATGTACTGTGTGTGGCCGTGGAAGATGAGGGTTTTAAATCTCTACTGTTTGAGAATTGGCATAGAGCTGTTAATCCTGGATGAATACCTTTTGCTTACAAGATTTGGCCTTAGAGTTGGATTTTTTTTTTAAATTGTATTTTTTTTTTGTTTTTTTGTTTTGTTTGAGACTGGCTTTTGCATTGAGGTGCTCAGTTATATTAGTATTTGCTCAAACTGGATTTATGAAGAGTCTGATGCTTTTAAAACCTGGGTTTATGTGTAGTGCCTGATCATTGACCTCGCTGATATGGAAGCTTTATTTAACCATTCACGTCTGCAGCTTTTGGTGCCGAACTTGGTGCCTGTGAGGGTTTTCAGGTCGGATTTAGGCTTGTAATTCTCATCATTCTGCTTGTGGGTTTGGGCCCGCTTGCTTTAATGTGTTTTCATCATTCTGGCTGAAATGTCACAGTGGCCTTGGCATAACCTTTGGGGCAAGGAAGTGACAAATGAAGGAAATCCTCTTTAAGCCATAGAGTCATGTACTGCTGGTTCTGCAGCTGTGTAAGCCCATTATATAAACAATTGTGATGTGCATTTAGGGAAAAAAAACACAAAGCAAACCAACAAAAACTTAATTACACCTCGCCTTAGGGCAAGGTGCAAAACTTTGCCTCATCCCTTCAACCTTGACATAAGCTGTATGTGAACACAAAGTAATATTAGAGATCCTCCTTAGCATTGTGCGTTCAGAATCCTTTGTGAGGGCAGTATGTTCAAGAGAGTTTCTGCAGCATCTCTGGATGTGAGAGATACTTTGGGGTTCTTCAGATTCCTCCATGTGGTATTTCCTATGTACTTCATTTTGCAGTTTCATTCTTTTTTTGCAATGGTACAAAAAGATGCTTCCTGGAAGCTTAATGGAAGGTCATTTACTCCCGTAGAACTGGAATATCAAGCACAGTGTTTCTGGAAGTACACAGATGCCTTTCTTACCTCCCCTACTCTGCTGTGAACGCTAGGCACACACAATTAACATGTTTCCTTAGGAAGCCAGTTTCCTGTATGAAATGTAGCTGCACTGTCTCTGCAACAAAACTGTCAGGGTGGTATATGTGGTGCAGCTGGCAGCACATTTTTCATCAATTCCTGTTTCACCACCTAAGCCCAGATGTTTCCTGCCACCGTGTAACTAATACACTGCTCTTTGTAGGGGTTTCTGCAGCCCTGAAAAATAACTGATTTTAAGGATTGCTGAGTAATGTTTAACTTAAGAATTCTGTACCTGTAGTTGCCAGATGGTCATCATTGCCTGGAAAAAAAAATTAAAATTATTTCCATTAATGTTATCAGAAATAATTCTAGTATCCTACCCAGAGGGTAAATAACTTGAATTCAGTTCAGTGCTCAACTCTGTATCCTTTCTTCCTAAAGAATTTATCTATTTAACATAAAATCCACAGTGTTCTTTAAATTCAGTTGGATTTTATTTATCATCCGTTCTAATATAAAACCTCCTTATCTTGTCCCAGAAGATCACAGAAGTTTTATGGTACACCCACAAATACCACAGTGCCCTCCACAGTTTGTTTAATAGTCTGTCATGGGTTCATTTAAGTAACTATTTGAATAACTCAGTAGTTAAAGACAGTTCAGTAGCTTTGCCATCCCCTAAAGAGTGGGACAGTGACTGCATTACTGCATCATCGCTTGTCTTCCCTGGATATGTTTCCTTTCTTGTCTTGCCTGGGAGGTGCCAGTGGCTGTAGCAGCATTTTTTTGTTCTCTTGTTTCTGCAACGCCTCATCTGTCTGCTTGAGATCAATAATAATCATGAAAGGGTATGTGCAAAGCCTAAATCTAGGCACAATACTTCATTAGCTGCTACTTGAGACCTGAAGCACAGCTTACCAAAACTGAGAACACTTCAGAATTTTTCTATATGTATGTTAGTACTGCGTATAAGCTACTCATCCTCCTTAAGACTCAGAGTACTTTGGATCCTTAGGTTGGGTCTTATCTCTTAAAAAGCAATTACAGAATGATTTTTCTGGAGATATTTGGGGTATATTTCCTGTATCAGTTACTGTTGCAGAGTCCCTTATGTAACTGTTCCAATATTAACCTTGTTCGTCTTCACAGTCTGAAGTTGTCAACTCTGTAGTGTAGCTTGTTTGTCTTATTTTTCCACTTTAAACCATGTTCTGTGTCCTAGTTGAAAGTTAAAAGGAAAATCGGTGTTCTAATGGTCTGTGTAATCACTTAACTCCTGAACAGTTTCAAAAGTTTGTTTTTTTTTCCTAGTAGAAAATAAATTATAGAGTCAGAGAATACCAGATTGGAAGGGACCTCAAGGATCATCTGTTCCAACATTTCAGGCAAAGTATGACCTAGACTAGACGTTCTAGCAGCCCGTTCAGCTGAATCTTAAAAGTGTCTACGTGGATCTTATAAGTATCCAGAATTGGGCAGATGAAGTTTTTTCATAAACACACATAAACCAATGATACATGTTTGCTGCTTAAAATTTTATACTGCAGTTTGTCTTCCTTAACATTCTTTTCCTATGCAAGCAGTTTAGTAAGTGAGCTTGTCTTACTTAGTGAGGCATTTGGTTATATTGCTTAGGTACCTTTTGTGTCTGCATCACAATACATATTTAGAGAGAGAATGCATATGCACACAAACCTTTGCTACTTTTAGTGCAGGACTCTTGTGGCACCTCTTGAGACTATTGCCTGTAGCATGCAGTTCTTTACTGCTGTCAGTCTGTAGTTTCCAGCTTGTGTAGTTCAGGTCTATGGGACTCTCTTCTTGCTCTTGCCAGTTTTTGGGTGGTTTTGGGTGTTTGTTTTTTTTTTTCAATAGCCCTAATAAACAAATTCAAAGTTCTGTTTTCTTTAATCTGTGTGCAATGGCAAATTATATTTCAGAGAAGTCTTGTGTGTTTTGTGTATGTAATATACTGTGGGGGTAATGATCAGAGAAGTGTATCTGCTGTTTTACTGTGGTCAGATAATTCCCGGTGTGTACTAGAATAGTCTAGTTTTTTTTTATTTAATTATTGTATGTTCCTACGATTTTATAATCTCACATAATTTCATCAGAATTCCTCCTATACTCTTAAACTGTGTTCTAGTCACTTCGTGTCTGTACATAGATATCTAACTTGCTTAGATAATTTGTGATTAGCATGCTTAATATTGTTTTAAATTCCTTCTAATGATGATAGAAAAAAACGACCTCATGTACTGTTTTATGATATTCTAATGTTCTTTCTCTTCTTATTTCCAGCTGTATGGGGAAACTTTGTCAATATGAGGTAATGTATATCACTTTTGTATTGTATTTCCTTGTGTGAAAAAAAAAAACAAAACCTCGAACAACTAACTTACCTTTCCCATCAATACGTATTGCTGTATATCAAATAGGGAAAACAGAACATCAGCTCACAGTGTTGTTTGGATGGTTGCTAAGCAGCTGATACCATTTTTAAAATATAAGGTGTTCAGTCTCAAAAAGGGCTTGTATATCTGCTGCAAATATTGACCAGGATCTTACTTGCACTTCAGCATCTGCCCTTCTTTACACAAATTCATCTTCTGATCTTTTGATTTTTCAGACAGGGTGGTTGGCATAGCTGGGCCACATAGGTTTGGATTCTGCTTTTCCTCAGTACAGATCTGGCCATGTCTCAGTGACAATACAGGCTTAAATACTAAACAGCAGCAGATTCTCCGCTGCTTGTCATAACTGTGTTTCTGTATCTAGATTTAGAAATGCGGTTTTGAGGGTTTTTCCTCCTCCACAATTAATTGGGAAAGAATCTGATAGTTTAACTGCCAAAAAGCAAAAATATTCTGAAATGTCCCCTAGAATTTTGCCTTTAGAAATAGAAGGGCATAACATATGCATGCAAACCATGCAGATTTTCACAGCATTTCTTTTTGCATGTGAGTGTTTGTCTTGTGGGAAAATTCATCAGGAAGGCACAACTAAAAAGAAAGTGAAGAGAAAACTGGGACAGTCTGTTCCCTACAACGGAGTCTTTGTGCATAGAAGACAAAATATTTCATGCTGTTTTGCTGGTAAAGGGTTTTGCTAATGTGTTGTTATGCTTAGCAGCACAGAGTAAAGAAAGTTTGAAGCAAAGTAAGAAAAATAATGCGTCTTCTGTGAGTTCTGATTCATCCAGGACTGCTTACCCTGGAATCTGTTCTTGTCCAAGGCTGACCACTTTAGTCCTCTTGGAGTTTCCCATCCTTGCTACAGAGTGTGTTCAGCTGTTAGCTGCAGCAGCTCAACAGCTGTTTATCTTGCAGATGGAGGTATCATTTAGATTGTGTTACTGTGACCAGCAGGCTATGGCAGCTTAACATCTGTTATGTGAGCAGCTGAGCACATCCAAAGGAAGGATGAGAAACTCGGAGATGAGTTTGGGCAGCATGTTCATTCCCTCATAAGCTGTCCTTCCAAAACCTGCCATTAGCTGTATCTGATGTCTTGTTTGAGATGCTCTGTATAGAGCTATCAAGAGGGAAAACTGTTTCTGAAAGTCTGATGTTGCAAGCCATTAAGATTGTTAGGAGGAAGAAAGAGCTTATGAAAAACTAGACTACAGAGTGCCAGTTCTTAAGTTTCCCAGATTTGTGAATAAACAATAGTAGGAACTATTTCTGAGGAGACTTTTTAATATTCTGAGGGGTTTTCCAAATTCTTTGCTCATTTAACAGAGAGGAAAGTCTATGTATTCCACAGATTGTTCAAGTAGCTTCTTGTAAAGTTCTGTTACTTGGGAAAACCTTTTCAAAATTCACATGAATTATTTCATATTGTTTCCTTGTAGTATACTGTATAAACTGGAGGGGTTTTGTTTGCCACTGTTACAATCAATTACAGTTTGTTTTGAAGAGATAGTTCAGGATCTGTATGTTTTAGTGTAGGAATTTACTGCACTCTACTGATACAACAAGGTGAATCTGTTCAATAAGGTTTTTGTCCCAGTAGTAGACTGAACTGACTTTTTAGTAAGAGAGCTTTACAGAGGAATATGAAGGGAATCATTGCTCTAACTTCTACTAGTATGACATATATATATATATATCTGCTGAACAAAGGATCTTCTGTTTCCTTAGGTGTAATGACTTTAGATCCCAAGTAAAGGAGCTCTGTTTTATTTGAACAAGCTCCATTTTATGTTGGATACCGTTGAATCCTCTAGTATGCAAAAACTTACTTCTGTAAGAGAAATAATTCCCCTTTCAGGAGTTTTATAAAAAAAAAAAAAGGCAAATTGAAGGAAAATTGTGTAGATTAGATGTAAGAGGTAAAATTTAAAAGTATATATATTCTACACTTTTAGAAGTTAAAAAATGAACAGAACTAATAGAGGTAATTTACACAATTAAGTGATAAGTAAGACCAAGATTTGTGCAAAACACCACCTTCTTGAGACAGTGCTATATTTTCACCTTCATCCTTTGCTTCATTTCAAATGAGTAACATTTGTGTGAGAAGTCAGTATTGCCCATCAGATGGTCACTTAGGACAAGTTTTAGGTTTTGGTTTGGGTTTTTTTTTTTTCTTTCTGTTTTTTTTTCCTTGGGTTTGGAAAAGTTCAAATTCAAAGCTAGCTACTACATATGCCTTTCTCTCTTTTTGATGGATACTACAGGTACAGTTGTGGCATTAAGGGAAAATGTTTTGTTAGCATACTTGTAGCATACAGTAAACAGAGACCCTCAAAGAGGCATCTTAGGCATTTGCATAGTAAAGATGCACTCAAAAACATTTCTGCTGACCGTACTTTAGTGCAGTGATTAGACAATTTTCTGCAGTTAATTTTCTCTGTTAAATGAATGTCAATTTATTACTCTTTCCTGTGGCTTTTGTTCAGCTTCTGCCAAATTCGGTGACAAGACCAGTTGATTTCAGTGGAAACTGGGACATCTGCTTTCATTTGCTCTGTATGTCTTTGAAATAATACCAGCTGGGGATGCTTGGAAGACAGTGTTTTAGCAGGAAAAGCATGATGCAAGTGCAGTGGAACAGCTGTTGCTTAGGTGTGGATTATGTTTTTTCTTTTCTTGCCAACAGGTCTCTTCAAGAAAACGGGGATCAAAAGGTGGAAAGTAAAATAGAGGAGGTTAGTTTGCTAATAGTTGCAGTCTGTCTTGTTTTGAGGACCCCGTTTCACTTATGTTTAATAAAAAATTTAGTCCTATTTTATTATTCTCAATTCTACTAAAACCATTCAAAGCACCGGATTTGTGCCTGGTCACAAGTTTTTGAACTGTCCTTCACAAAAGGTGGAGTCTAACATAGATCTGTAAGATGGTTTTTTTGTTTTATCTTTTCCCCTCTAAATCTTTCTTGAAAGTAATAGCTCTACCATCTCATTTGCTGCAGAGGTTATGGCAGAGTTATCCTGAGAACTGCTTTTTGTTACAGAATGAAGGAGATACACAGGTTCTTCCCCCGTCACCCTTACAAAATGTTAAATGTATGTATGTTTAGTAGAAATTCAAACCCTTCCAAAAATGCTTTGTTCTTAACTAATAAACAAAGGTAGTGGTGTCTGTGATCCAGGATGGTGTGCAGTAGAATGCTTTAAGCACAAGTCCCGCAATTTCTGAATATGTTCAATATGTATTGAACACACTGGTGGTACTGTACTTCTGTACCCATACCTCTGAATTTCCATTTCAGCCTCAGTTTGTGAAATATCAAGAATGTGTACAACGGATCTTTCTCCAAGTGTTTTTAGACTTCCAGTCTAATAACAGTAAAACTAATAATTTAATGATACAAAAGTCTTTGCGGTCCGTACAATTTCAAGTGGTAACTATGATTGTATATGGTGACAGAGTTTTAGTGAACTATAAAAACGAGTTCAGGGACTTGTTGAAATCTGGCACAACTGTTAGAAATTTGGGTCCTCTGATAAAGTACCTGAAACTGATGCAGACTTCAGTGATTCTCTCCTTCAAAACAGTGAAAATGCAAACAGAAGTCTTGGTAGGTGAATTATGTTTTCTAACAAAACTTTCATTATTTTTAAAAAGCTTAATAAATACCCTCAAATTATGATGTAAAACATATCTTGGATTTTTTAACATGTTTCTTTAAATTTACATACCATGTTCTGAGGGAATTGTAGCCTTTGCACTGGAGCCAATGCCTCTGTGTAGTCTTAGGTATGTGTTTCTACTTTAAATAGGTTTTACTGATTGTCCTATTGTGCTGTTGCTCAATATAGATTGCCTTTGACAACCTCAGACAAGTCACTTGTGACTTCACTTTGCCAAATAGAAATTATAAGATTGGGTATTCTTATCACCAAGGCTATGGTACTCAGCCTTGAAGTGTTTTCAGTGGTAAGGGATTTCCCATTGTAATGGGTGATATGGTTTTTGGTGAAAAAGGTTCAAGGATTTTTTGACATAAAATATGCTTTAAGATGCAAGTTTCTTGGAGTATCTTCAATGAAACTTTTCACAGGAGACTATTTACCATGATTTTTGCTCTAAAATAACTTCCTACATGCATGTTTTGTGATAAGAATCTAGTTCTATTCTTCAGAGATTAAAAGTTATTCCTTTATTTCAGGCTGTTGCACCTCTAAGGGAGAAAATCAAAGACCTAGAAAAAAGGTACGTCTTGCTAAATTTGGGAAACAGTTGAAAAGCACAGTCTCTGCTCTGTGGTGGTCAATTCTGTAGTTGTAAGTTTGAGAAATGTTTTGTGTATACCCTCAGTACCCTTGAATTTTTATCATATCTAGGTGAGGATGGGACCTTGGATGCTGTAAAACATTAACCCATTAAGGTGTTTAGGTTGATTAATCGTTCTAAAGTAAACCAGGAGTGCTGGATTTTTGTGAAGTTCAAATCACTTGGAGGAATTTGCCAGTTTGAGTTCAAGCTGGTGATGAGATTAGTTGGAACAGACCATGGTTTACTAAGTCCAGCGCAGGTGTGTGCTAAAACATATTGGTTTCAACTTCAAGACTGAAAATACATTTTCCCACATTTCCCACCTGTCATGGTTTAAATCCAGTCAGGCAACTCGTTCGCTCACTCCCCCCCCCCTTCTTTCCCTCCCCCTACTCCTGGAGGGACGGAGAGGAGAATCGAAAAGAATGCAACTCCCACGGGTTGAGATAAGAACAGTTCAGTAACTAAGGTATAACACAAATCACTACTGCTACCACCAATAATAACAACAATAAAGGAAATAACAAGGGAAGAGACTACAACACCTCAGCACCAGCCAACCGATAACTCGCCCCCCCCCCAGCTCGACCAAGCTCCGACCCATACCTCCTCCAGCCCTGCAGTCCCCCAGCCCTTCCAGGGCACTCCCAGTTACCCCCCCACCCTGGGCATGACGTGCTGTGGTATGGAATACCTCTTTGGCTAGCTTGGGTCAGGTGTCCTGTCTCTCCTTCCTCCCGGCTTCCCCTCCTCCCTGGCAGAGCATGAGGCTCACAAACTCCTTGGCCAAACCAAAACATCCTTGTTATCAGCTCTGTTACCAGGCCGAAAGTCAAAACACTGCACTGCACCAGCTACCAAGAAGGAGAAAAATGACTGCTACTGCTGAACCCAGGACACCACCCTTTTCATCAGTTACCGTAATTCAGCTAATGTACAGATTTGCTTGTGAATCTTTGTGCATGTGTTTTGGATGGGCCTGACTGACTTGCTCCTCTCAGTATTTGTGAGTGAACGTGTTACTGTGGATTAAACTAGATGATGCAATTGAGGAAAAGCAGACAACCTTTTGATGAGCTGCAGATACTGAATATCTACTGTAGTTCCACAAGCACCTTAAATTGACGTAGTTGCTTAAAAATAAAAATCCAAGCCTGTTCCATTTCTCCCTGGCTGCTTGTGTCCTCCCTGCAACATGTTTTCCTCACTTTTATGCCAGCAGAATCATGTGAGTGCTGATAGTAAGCTAGCTGGGAAAACCAGACATTTCATTCTCTTTGTTTTTCCTCCCTTCCCAGCTTGGTTACCTTTCCACCAGATCAGTTCTCCCATCTGAGTGTCCTCATGGGCAAGTGCTTTTCATTACAGAATAAGCTCTGGAATAGGGGTGGGAATTTTCCATACGGGCAAGGACACTTGCTTTTAACAGTGACGCTTTCACAGGTGGCACTGTTGATGTCCCAGGCAAACAGCTAGCCAACAAAGCCACAGTACAAAGAGCTGAGTTTGGACTTATACAGGCAGTACCAGTAAGCTTGGATGGTTATGTATGCCATACTGGTGGTTGTATGTTGACCCAGTGGATGGGGGGCAGAATCCCATTGCTCTTAGAGGTATGCTCAGTGCCCACAGTGTTTTGAGTTTTGTTTGTCAGCGAGCAGTTGCCCCTCTTCCTCCCACCTCCTATGCTATAAAAAAAAAGAAAGAGGAAAAACACAGTTGTGAATTCTGTGGGGGTTTTTTGGTGGTTTTTTTTTCGGTGTTTTTTTCCAATTGATTTGAATGATTCAGTGACCTGCCACATGCAATTCATTGCAGTGAGAATACCGATCTGATTGTTCATCCCTTTATAAGCACGCAGACTTCATGGGTTGAACTAGGTGATGTGTTTGCAACACAAACCAAATTGCAGACTGCGTCACCTGTAGTAGTTGCATGTGATGCTACCATACAGATTATAGCAGTCAAATTATAAAGAGTTTATGTGCAAATGAAAGTTTTTATGTACTGTCTGTTCAGTTGACTGACTTAATCTTTTTTGACAGGCCAGTATGTTTTCAGCTTAAGTTGTTAGTAATTCGGGTTATTTCCTTCTGCCATTCACAAAGGACCTTTGTGGAAGGGTATCCTGACTGGCTCTTTTATTTTTTACAGCTGTTATTTTTTTCCAAACGAGCAGTGAGTTGTTGGGTGGAACCACTAAGTTGAAACTTCTCCCAGGAGCCATCTAACTGCTCTTTTCTTTTTGAGTCGTGTTTGCACTGCATTGACGAGTCTTGTTTCAGGTATCTGTTAATAAAGAGAAAGAATGAGAATATTTTTCTGCCTCTGTGTGAGCCAATCTGGGAATTATGCTTTCACAAAATGTAGGCTTTGGGCTCTTTTGGTCCATATCAAAATACAGGCTCTTGTTGTTGGTTGTTTTTTTTTTTTCCAAATAGTGTAGGCATTCACCTGTGCTGGCTCAACTGCATATGGGTTGTTGCAGTTAGTAATTTTTTTAATTTATATCTGAGTAAAGTGACAAAAAATATCTACTCACTATCAGGTGCCTGAAGTCTGATCCAGCTTGCAAAGCTTATTCTCTTGTGTCAGTATGTGTTTGTTTTTTTTTTTACCTCGTAAGATGATAAAACCTGAAAGAAAGCCATCATTATGCTTTTGGGAAACAAGAAAGACAAGGATTCCTTAATGCGAGTCTCATGATGAGATTGATTAACTGAAGCTGAAGTTGGGAAGTTCTTATTAATAATTTGCATAGCAAAAGCATTGTGGTGTAGTTGTCAAAGCAAGCGTTAGGTCAAGATAAACTCAGTGTTGTTGCCAGATGAACATTCAGCTGCATCAGTTCCAGACTCCTACCCAAGCTCTAAGCTAGTACTGGTGAAATGGTAGGAGCAAAAATGGTGTCTCTTTGGCTGCAGGATGATACCATGCTGGGCTAATGTGACCTTAAAATAGTGGTCTTAAAAATGGAAAAGACTGACTTTTACCTTGCATCAAATTATTTGGCGCTTAATTATTTTTTTTCTCCCATAACTCCATAAACCTCATTATTGGTGGATTTGCCTTTCTCTCATTGGAAGGTGGTTTGTTGCATGTCTGCATTACACTTGCACACTGCTGTTTCTCATTGGTTTACCTTAAGTCAAAGAAATAGGGTTACCACTGGTGACCCATGTAGCTATACAAGGCAAATGTAGGTAAATTCTTATTTCAGTCTTCCTGCATGGGTAACATTGGGAGATTCTGTTGCCATATTTCTCCTGTCCAGGAAACTAAAAACAGCTTTTGCTCTGGAATTAAAAGTTGACACAAGTAGAGAAGCATTTGTGCTTTGCCTCTGAAGAATTTCTGTTGAGCCAGTACTGCAAGTTAGAAGCAGAGGAGGTGCTTCAAGGTCAGAAGTGATGGGGTCAGTTTTGTCAGTTTGTGTAAATCAAAAAGTAATCTCAGTGTGAACTCTTGGCATGTATGCCTCCAGCATGCTACCTCCAATTGCATCTCTGGCATGTGGACTTACTGGAGGAGAAGAACAACCATAGTTTGATTTCTGTCCAGTGTTACACTGATATTTAGTTAAGAAAAACTTGAGCTATTAAAATATCACAAAGACTGCAGTGTTACACGCTGAGATGAATAAAACTAAGTTCACACCTTTCACATCTTCCTTTGAAGGAGTTTGTTGCTTTACACAGAATGCATGCCAGTAGGGGGAGAAAGAAGTGATAGAGGCCGTGTCCATGAAATCATCTAAGGTTCTCAGCATCAAGAGCTTAGGAGGGCACCTGAGATCCATGTATCACAGTTTTGTTTTAGAATGTTTTAGTTTTTAAGTTCCTGTAAAGAATAAAGGGCAAAAAAATTAAAGTGACCATCAAAACAATGGTAGTCTAGCTATTTCTGAGAAGAAAATTAAGATTAGCTTTCATACTGAATAAGCTTTCTGGTAAAAGTTGTTGAATATCTTAAGAGTTTCTTCAACATTCTGATTGTAAACTTTCCAATTACTGATTGCTGTGAAACTTTGAGGAGAATTTAAGCTTTATATTGTAAACTTCACATTGAAACGTTGAAAAGTGTTTGAAGTCAATGTGGTAAGTCAACACAAGCTGCTTTCTTTTCTAGTACTTTTAAGAAGGTGGTTTACTTTTTTAAAACATAAAAGAAAAAATAAATAATCCCAGTGACTTGTGATGCCATTCCTGCTCTCAGAATATAGAAGTCAGTTGATCCATTCTGGAAAATCTGTTAAGCAGAAATACTCAAAGCACTTTTTACAGATCAATTTTGATATTTCTCACAGAGCTTTTACTAAACATAGACAATTTCTCATGTTGGCCCAGATCCTTCTTTATTAAAAAAGACTAAACATACCTGTAGCAGAACTTTAAGAATGGGAAGTTGTCAGAGCAGATTTTCGTATTTTGAAGACAGATATGTGAAAGAAGCAGCAAGGCTGAAACTTACATAGTTCCTCTTCTTTGTCTTTAAATGTTCTGTAGTTTCACCCAGAAATACCCACCGGTGAAATTTTTATCAGAAAAGGATCGTAAAAGAATCCTGGTAAGTTGGTATTTATTCAAGGGTTGTTTTGGGGAAATAAAAAGTAAAAGTCTGTGGAATATAATTAGTCTTGTAGGATTAATTAAAGACATGAGTAAATAAGTAAATTACCTTGAATATTGTATGTTGCCCAGGGTTAAGAGTAGTGCTTCACTTAATCTGTGTTGATGCTCTCAAACTCAGCATTTGGATAATAGACTTGGCGCTGGTTTGGTGATTTGACATGCCAATTAAGCTACTGCTCTCTGCTTGCAACATCTCAGGATTGTGTTGCCAAAAGGCCTTTGTGTGTGCTCCCAGATGACTTAAACTTGCAGAGAAACTGGGAAACTTTTTAGGCACTTCTTGACCCAAAGCTTGGGCAAAATCAGGTCATAAGGCTAGAAGAGCAGCTGCTCTGCAGCCCTGTTAAGAAGGACCAGTTAATTAGACCGAGGAAGTGTTCATCTCTTCTCTTCTTTGTTGGTTTTGATATTTTGAAACTTCATAGGTTTTTGGGGTGGAAGAGGAGGGCTGGTTAAGTCAATACAAGTACTTATCCAAGGCATTCTTATATTCAGCAAATTGTGCTGTAACGTCAGCTTCACAGTTTTGTCTACAAACACTTTTGAAATTAGTTGTGTCCTAAATTCTCCCTTGTTTCTGTCTGTCCTGGGGGAAGAAACACGTCTCCCTGATGTTGAAGAAGCAGAGAAAGTATAGCTACTTGAGATGTGCAAATACAGATTATGAACTTCTGCCTCTGTAGTAGAAGGCAAAGACTGGGACAAATCGCTGCTAAAGTGCCTTTCTTGTCTGGTGTTCTTGTTTGCTCTGATTTCAAAATTTTGAAGAAAACCACTGAAAAGATGCAAATAAAAACAAATTTTGTTTCTACTGCTTTATTAAACAGTAGTCTTTATTGCTATTGCAAAACTTCATAAAGAATGTGCTGTCGAATGAATTTAGTTCTGCAATGTTATTCTGTTGTGACAGTCTGAAGGAGATAGACCTCCTGTTCCCTTGTTGAGTTCCTGTTCCCTGCTACTCTGTTCCCTTGTTGAGTATGGAAGATACACTGAGGAAAATAGCAGAGAGAAGCTTAAGTCTAAAAATTCCTAAATTATGTGCTCAGGTGTGCAAGGGTAATGAAGTTACCTTAGTGTTACGTTTTCTGTGTAAGCGAGAAGGTGCTTTCAAGTAAAGTATCATGCAAGCTGTTAATAGGCTATTGAGCTCTTAATGCTAAGTTTTAGGCTTTGCCTCTGAAAAATACTGGATATTTTGTGGAAATCTATTGCTTCAACAGTGATGGCAAGTAGTTGGAGTATTTTCTGCTGACCTGTAGGTCTATAGGGTTTTTTGTGTCCATGTGTTTTGTAGAGTCTAAATTACTAAAAGGAAAGCTGGCCAAAAGGATGAGGGAGTTGTTCAGTTATTTCTTCTCTGTCATGGCTGGGGACTAGTTCAGTGTGAACTCAGATGAGCATTCACGAGCCTCCTGCCAATGTGGGCAAGTCATGATATGACGGTGTTGCTGTCATAATCCTACAGGAAATAACAATCCATGTTCTTTTCAGTAGCTGAAGACAGCATATAAAGAACTCCTGTAGACCTTTCGTGACACTTGGAAATGTCTCAAGAATTGGCAAGCCAAGTGAGCTTTGGTAGATAATGAACTCCATATTTTGTTGATATTGCATCTTTTCCTAGAATCCATTCTATATTCTGACATTTTTTCCTCTGTGTACAGTCTCCAGCTAAAACCCAGAGATACCCACAGCATTGACCTGACCAGTGACAGTTTTAGAAATTATTTTTCATTACACTGCATCTGTTTTGAGGTGACTGCTAGTAGGGGTGGTGTTTCAGCTGAGACTAGATGCTCTGGTACTCTCATTAGAAGAGCTCAGGTTTTCAGCCTGTTGTGCATGATTTCTCTATTTTATCAGTTCTCTGAAGTGGCTAGGCCACAGGCTTTTGTATGCAAGAGAAGAAATTCTGTTAATATTATGGACGATAGTGTTGATATTGGTTCAGTCTGTGGGTTTTTTTTTCCTGAATTCAATATGGTAGACAGGTGAAACCATAAAATAAAATATTTCCTTATTAGACAATAGTTATCTTGAATCTGACTGCAGACAGCAAAAATCAATCTGTGTAATGAATACACAAACTTTTCAGTGCTTCTAGCTGAGGAAATGATCAGTAGTCATACTTGCAACTTTTAGTAGATGATAAAGTTACCATGCATATTGGCACTACTAAGTAATTAAATATTTTTATTAGCGATGTCTTATCAAAGAATGCCTAGTTAAACCTCAGGTGCTGGTGCTTCAATTCTGATACGAAAATGATTCATGTATATGATTTTGTAGATTAATATGTCTTTGTGATTTGCAGGAAGTCATTTAGAAATGAAGTATATTGACCTTGCTTTGAGTGATTACAGGAAGGTTATACAGAGAGCTTCAGTGATAAATCATCTTTTCTTTTTTAATGTAGCCTCAAGTAATGATAAAAACATAATTTACATTTGTTTACTATTCCAGGGGAAATTCAGCTCCTTTTCCAAATAGATCTTTATGTAATACCTGTGGAAGTGATATGTTAATAAAGCTAGATCTATCATAAAACTATTTATGGTTTTAAAGTAATTAGAAACTTCTTTCCAAACAGAATTGGTTTGTGCTTTTTTCTGCATTTTTTTGCTTGCATATAGCATAGCAGTGTGCTGTAAGCAGTGCTTGGTTTTGTTTGGCATTTTCCAAAAGGGAGATCAGGAAGAAGAAACTTTCTTACACTGCAGCAAAGACATATCACAAGCATTGAGCTTCTCTTCTCTGGAATCTTGGAAATAGAAGTAGCAGCAAGAGATTTCCTTGGGCCTCAGCTGAAGGAATAGGTTCGAAAAAAATTTTGTCCTGGTTACCACAGAAAAGCAAACCCCTTGTACCATTCTGCAAGGCTGCAGCTTGCTTCCAGGTCAGAATAAGCTTATGGTGGTAGGTTTTCCATGCATGTTATTTTTCCCTTGGTAAGTGGTGGCACCTGGCAGAGGGCTGTGCTCCCTCAGTTACTGCTCTTCTTTCCTTGTTCACAGCATTCTGTCAGAAACCTGTTCTTCTCTCCTTTCTGTTCCAGGGTAGTAGGAGCCATGAAATTCTTTCTGTCTTTCAAAGAGAGTTCTCCTAAGCCCTCTTTCTCCTTCAGGTTTGTCAAGGAACTGAATCACATACTAAATCTGTTACAAGGAAGTCCTGACAAATCCAGAAGAATACTAAATAGGCCAACTAAATTGTTCTTTTATTAACTGGTAGTTACAGCGTCTTTGACACAGTGGTGACCCTGAATTTTAAATAAGAAAAGCAAGTGTGAGAATGCAAGATGTGGGCATTCAAGTTTTTACAGAAGAAAACAGATGGGGTTTTTTTGGTTGTTTTTTTTTGTTTTTTTTTTTTCCATTTTCTGATAGCTTTTGCTTTGACTTTGTATCTTTTCTAGGCCTGATTGGTTTTGGGTTTGTTTTTGTTGGTGGGTTTTTGTTTGTTTGAGTTTTTTAATCTACTAATCTGACTTTTTTTCAGTAGTAGATGATGGAGGGGTGGACAGGATAAATGTTTAGGGTTTGGCTAGCCCAAAGTGCATCTTCAGGCATCCACATCCTTTTCAACACAGTACTTTGTCATTGTAGCACACCATCTATTCTTGCTTGACAATCATACCTTGTCCTTTTGTTGCTTAGTTAGTTGTCACTGCATGTTACTGCAGTTGAATGGAGATCAAGAGCTGAATCACTTTCAAAATGTGAATTTGATCATGCAGTCATGTAATGTAACTAATGCCACACAGGGCTTTTACAAGTCCATTTATTCTTTGCGAGTGGTGATCTGTTATGAGTGCGTTCTTGAAAACAGCTTGTGAAATGCAGAGAAAATAATTGCTTCCTTGGGTATGTCTGGCTAGATGTGTCGCACAGCTTTCAGTTCTGCTTACTTTGTTGACTGCTTCAATACAGAGTTAGTGATTTATGGTTTTTTTTTAGTTTGCTGTTAAAGTCTGAGGTCCAGAAAGGGAAAAGCGTAATGAACTTCCTCACTGCTTCTGCATTTGCAATGGGACAAGAGTACAAGGTTTTAAATATTTAATTTCTGCTTATTTTTTTGCAGTAAAGCATCCTAAAGCTCCAAGATAGGCAAATGCTGGATAGCAGAGCCAGTGGTGTAGCATAGAATATTTTCAGTTGGAGAGGACCTACTACGATCATCTAGACCAACTGCCTGACCACTTCAGGCCAGAATGATGTGGGATATGGATGCATTAAAGCACAAAAAGAGGAATTTTGGTTTTAGCAGATACCTCAAATGAGAGGTCTTCAAAGAATATACTTCCTTTCATCTTTTTTCCTGAAGGGTGAATGTAGCACTTGGAACAACCAATGTTCTTCCATTTAAACTGGATAAAAGCTGGATTTGACATGTTTGATACTATAAATCTTGCATGAAAATAATGTGGCATTCTGTCATCTTTCTTCTGAGAAATAAGAATTGCAGAAAATTCTCCTCTTACCTTTTTGGGTCTTTTTAGGCCTTGATCCTGCATAAAAGGGCACAATCCAATTTGTAGGGAAAAAAAAAAAAGAAAATAATCTAATCTGAAAAAGGGATAGGCTTTTTTTAGGTGAATGGTTAGCTGAACTTCTAGCCCAACAGTGATGAAACATGTCAAGCATGTCTCTTGAAATTTTAAATGCTGTAAATATCAGGGAAAAAAAATGAGCATGGAAATGGAGTTATTTCCCCTGGAGTAAGCAAAGATCTGAAAGCTACTGTTCTTCTGTCTTCATGTTTGTAGACTTTGTCTGGTGTTTCTGTAAAAAGAAAAAGAAATTTATACCAACTGTCCTAACGCAGATAACTGGAGGAGCAGGGTTTGTGGGTTCTCATCTTACTGACAAACTAATGATGGATGGCCATGAGGTTACAGTTGTGGACAACTTCTTTACGGGCAGGAAAAGAAATGTGGAGCACTGGATTGGTCATGAGAACTTCGAACTGATAAATCATGATGTTGTTGAGCCCCTGTACATTGAGGGTGAGTAGTCTCTGTTTGGTATCTGCACTTTATGGTGCTTTATCCTCCTAAGTATGTATGTCTATAAAGGAATGAAATTTATGAGCTGACTTTGGAATTCATCTAATACCAATATGCTTTGGGTTTTGTTAGCCTATTTTCTGTGACCAGTGTGGAGTGGGAGGTTCAGACAAATTTTGTCTTTGAAATCAGTTCTTTTCTGAGCAGACAGGAGGAAGAGAATCTTAAAAACTTCCTAATGTGACTGGTTCTGAGAAGGCAAAATGACAATCAGTCAGTCTGTCTATCCCATCCATTGTGCCGTGTCCCTGTGTGCCTGCATGAGCTTATGCACACTGTCTGTGGTCTGGATACATCATGAACTGAGAAATTTTAATTCAGGGCTGCAGCTGTGTGTGGTCAGTTGAGAGGAGACTAAGCTCTTTCAGAAGGCAAATCATCTCACTTTGCTTAGTTGCCTTAAGTGTCTTCTGTGAGAAACATTGCTCCTACTTTAGGTACAGGCATTGCACAGCCTCTAGAATAGGAAAAGAGCAGCATTGAATTTCCCCAATTTTCAACCAAAAAAAAACCCAAGAACTCAGACTGTTATGCCAGATTGTAAAACAGCATAACATAGCTGCATTTGAAAGAGACATGCATTTATAAACTTCTTTGAGAGTATGTAAGTGTATAGTGAATCAATAAAGATGTTACTCAAATTACACTGCAGTTCTGGTGGGTTTGCTCCATCCCTTTAAAACTTTGTTGCGATATAGGTGTTGGATTTTTTTAAACAAACAGTAAAGTATCTGGGGTTGTATTTTGGGGGGATTTTATTTTTTTTTTTAAATTCTTGCTGAATTCTAGTAGGTGGAATTTCACAGGGAAAACCTCTAGCAATTGCATCTCTTGTATTATAGTGCTTGTGATGAATTGCTGACACCAGTACTGAAACAGTCCTGCAAATACATCCTCCTCTGCTCTGACAGTGCACTGGTTCAGTTATTGCATGTTATTTTGCTAAAGACTTGTTCCTTCACTGACAGGATAATGGGGCTAGGATCTTATTAATTGCCTCCAGGTGCTGGTAGCTTATACCTCAGCCAGTTCATTTTGTCAGCTTTCCTAATCTTTCCCGTGTTACCTTCTTGCTGACTGATCACATTTGGGACCTTCTCAGGGAATTATCATCATTGCTAATTCTGTTGCCCAGTTATTAGGCACTAATGAATGGGAATTCTGACATCCTTCAGCTACCTCTCCCATGTTCTATGTAATTAAGACACCACTTCCCCATTTTCTACTGACAATTTATAACATGTTATTCAGTGGGTAGTTTATTGAATATCTTCTCATCCTCCAACAGTGTAGATTAAAGCTGGTGCAGCTAAATGTTAAAAAAAAAATAACTCTGATATACTAGTGTATATATATGTACATGATAAAACTTCATTTTGTTGCAGAGTTTATAGTCCATCTGGGGGGGTGGCAGAAATTAGGCAGTGAAACATAGTTATTGTAACAGATTAAGAAGTTGGCATATGCATCAATACATTTTAGTTCTAGTTTCTCCTTTTTACTTGTAAATAGAAGTTGGAATGACTGTTATGACAAAAGGAGGTTTGTATCTAAAGAATTCCTGTTTATTTGCTGTCCTTTTAAAACAAGGTCATATAAGGTTGTTTGACACTTAAATTTCAGAGAGAATAATTGGTGCTTTAGTTGTGAGAGACTTCATTCCTGATTTAGAAAAAACAATGCTTGCACTTCTGATATGGAAAGTGAGTTTAGTCTCAAGACACATAGCTTCCACTAAATCTCTCGATGTATTTTTCTTTTTAGCTTCACAGTGGTGCCTACGCACAATCTGCCATGTCTGAGTCATTATCTTTGATCCATTACATGACATGGCACTCAGCATTCTTGGATCTTAATCTAGATTGGCCAGAGACAGTAATAAATCACCTAAACACACATTTATTATTCCTGCGATAACTGTAGTTGACTATAGTGCTGAATGACTTTCTCCTCCACCACCAGGATTTCCTTTGCTTCAGCATTCGTAGATGATGTCAGTAGAAAATGCACAAGAGCATAGCTTTCACTTAAGTTTTTTCAAGTGGAAAAACAAAGGTCGCGAATTCTTTAATGGAATGAAAGTAATTTAGGAGTCTTGAAAGACAGAAAAGGGGGGGGGGGGAGGGATTAGTTTGCATAATAGTCATATTAACCCTATTAAACCTAGTGGTGTATAAAAGAATCTTTTATTACTCTATATTATCAATGAAAAAGTATGGAAGTCCACCTTACCTTATTCTCGGCCCCATTCTCTACATTCAAGATTACAAGCTCCTTAAGATGGTTACTTCAGAACACTGTGGCTCGTGTTCCTGCAAACCGTAGTATAAAGACACAAAGGTGCTAGTCGGAGAACAAATGAGAATGAATACTTGATCTGGTGTTACTGTGATTTACCCCACTTCAGGGTAATAGATATGATTACAACTGAATTTTAAAGCCACCAAATTATGAATTTCTTTTGTGAAATATGTTTATAATATGTTTATGCTTGAATATGTGTGGATATAAAAAAATCCCCAAAACAACAAAAAAAAACCCTGAACAAAACCCAACACCAACCCCCATCCCAAAAAAAACTTTTCTTTTTTTTTTTCCTCCTACTGCTTTCACAAATTTGAAAAAAAACAGGCCTGAAGATGCTGCAGAGGAAATGAACAAGGAAAACAGTTGGCTCAGTTGTACTGACTTAATTTTCCTAATCAGAAATGCACAGGATGTTCTGAATGCTTTTGTCATTGTATAAAAAATGTAGTTTAAAGATTTTCTTCTCCTGGAAAGATGTTCATTGTAGTCCTCAAGAAATAGCTTTTAGACATAAGGCTTCTAGAGCCTTATCCTTATCTAGAGATTATCCTTTTTCTTTCCAGTTTAATTGGATCACACTGTCCACTTTGGTTTTGAACCAAAGGAGCACAGTTGCAGGAATTTTGTTGATAGCCTCCAATGTTTCACTTTTTAAAGAGGAGCTCTTGGTAAAATATCAGTACAGTATTTCTAAACCTGCAGTCAGTGGCAGCTGGAGGCAAAATAGGTAATTTCTTTTTGTAAAGAACAGTTCCTTTCTCATGCTCAAAGACTGACTTGTTAAAAGCAAGTACACTGCTGAACTAATGTAACATGATGTGAAAGAAGAAGTGTTTGTTAGTAGTAGGTAAGGTTGACCCTTCCATCACTTATGTCCTGAGATTAATTGTAATAATTGATGTGAAGGTCAGTCAAAGCTGTTTGGTTTTGGTCTTGTTTTTTTGTTTTTCTTTATTAATACTAGCAGTCCAGTTTCTGGCAAAACATTCCTTAAATGCTGGCTTTATTTCCAGTGGCTGTTGTGAATGCAAAGGTAGTTTAGGATTTCCTGACTTTCACTGAAAAGCTTACAAAATGGTAGAATAAAACATATTTTGTGAATTGAGAGAAGTGCTGTGAGCATGTGGCATACATAGTCACAAGGAGATGGGCTTTCAGTTTTCAAAAGGTATGAAGCTGTTAGTAACAGGCACATAGGTATATGAAATAACATTATTTATAGAACTTTTAGTAGATCATTGGCTTGACTGGGACTGAAAATGCTTTTTTTTCTTAAGGATTTTGCTGGATTTGGGTCTGAGTTGCCTTTAAGGCTAAAACCAACAGTCTGACAAAATTGGCCAAAAGAATAAGCTATAGCCTTCTTGTGTGTAACAGCCTTCCAGAAGTCAAAATTATAACATTTTAGTAAACACTGTTTTACAGCATCACAGAATTGTTCAGTCTCCAAGTCATTTCACAGGTAACTTAAGGCACGTACAAATACAGCTTCTAATTTTTTATGTGAATGCCTTCAGTACATTGCTTTTCTTTTGCTTCAGTACCTCCATCCCAGATTTTTATTTCCCTAGTCTTCATTCCCTCTGACAGATACTTAATACATTCAACTTGAAGGATTTAAACTGTACGTTTAGGCAAAGTCATGGCAAGGCAGAAGATATGCTACTTAATTTTGTTTTTCTGGAGCCAAGTGCAGTGGTGCCTAGGTCTCTTCTGAAGCTCTTCAAAACTGCTCCAGTACAATCAATATGGTAAACCTTCATGATTTTTTTCTAGTTTGCCTTAAGTTATAGGCAACACTTTTAACATAAGGAAATTAATTTGGATTTGTAGTCTTTTTTCTTTTTTTTTAGCTCAGTGCAATAGAAATGTCTTGCTTCACTGTGTCACCTTCTCTGGCCTGACCTACAGTAATGGAATTGGCATAGCTATTCGTCACAAGAAAAGTCCATATTTTTAAGCCATAGAAACTTGTTCGTATGCTTCTGATCAAAGCTTTTCTGCTTGGTACTTCCTGACTAGTAAGTACAATGATGGATGCAGGTGGTTAGTGGACTTAGTGACCTGTTTAGTCTTTTGTGGTACCATGACACATGTTAAAGGCAGAAATTGAAGACTAAGGCCATTTCTTCACAGAAAGGAATGCAATTTCCTGTTGTAGGAAAGGTGATAGACTCTGCCTCTATTATTCACTTAGGAAGCATTCAGAACCCATGCAGTGATATAGTTGAAAATCAGAGATGAATGACATGAAGGAAGGTAGTTTTATTGCAATGTTTTGTAAAAGTGAGGTGTTACACTGAACGTATTTGTTTAGCATTAAGGAAAACACAAGACCTAACATTTGTGTCTGGATTTGGGTATTACACATTCCATTACAGGGATTTTTGGTTTTGGGGGTTTTTGTTTGATTGGGGTTTTTTTAGCTTTTCACATAGAAAAGGGTACAACTGACAAATTCTAGTTGCTCTTGATCCTGCAATATGTTACTAAAACTTTATGTTAATAATAGATTTCCTGATGGCTTGAATGCTCATGCCATGTCTGTGCTATTTTGAAACTAATTACTTTTCTTCTTTCAGCAAAATTGTAACCTGAAAAAATTATTTCATATTTATCACTAATCTGCCGTCCTGTGCTTGATAAACTACTTGCTGCTGCATTCACAGTGGCTTATAAAGTTCTAGCCCCTGATATGCGTTACATGCAGAACTTGCAGAATTTTATTGTTTGTTCTTTTCTGGTCCTTACATATCTACTTTGCACAACCTTCCACACAGTTATTTTCAACTAATTGCACGCAAGGTTGTCAGCCAGACAAGGTGGGTGGCTTTGTCTGGCATGTCTGGTTGGCCTGCTGAAATCTTGAGACAAAAAAAAAAAAAGGGATTTTTTAGACCTTACAGTTAAAAGAGGGAAGATGCAAGGAGAAATAATTGTACTTCCCTTGACATCTTCAGCTTGATGGCTCAAATGTGACCAGTCTGGGGCAGAAACTTAGTCTTTCCACCCTTCTGAAATGTCCGGTGTTCCCTAAATATTTTGGAAAGCTAGTGATGTTTTTAGTTGGTCTGACGCTTGATACCCTAAAGATTCCTGCCTGGGCAAGAGGGTAAGGTCCTGGAGCTGCCTGGCTCCCTGTCCTTTTGACCCAGAAGACGTCTGTCTGACACTTGCCAAATGCCCCGTCTTCTGTCTATCTGATAGTTCTGCTCTGGCTGAACCTTTTATCACATAGAATCATAGAATAGTTAGGGTTGGAAAGGACCTTAAGATCATCTAGTTCCAACCCCCCTGCCATGGGCAGGGACACCTCACACTAAACCATATCACCCAAGGCCTCATCCAACCTGGTCTTGAACACTGCCAGGGATGGAGCATTCACAACCTCCTGGGCAACCCATTCCAGTGCCTCACCACCCTAACAGGAAAGAATTTCCTCCTTATATCCAATCTAAACTTTCCCTGTTTAAGTTTGAACCCATTACCCCTTGTCCTGTCACTACAGTCCCTAATGCAGAGTCCCTCCCCACCATCCCTATAGGCCCCCTTCAGATACTAGAAGGCTGCTATGAGGTCTCCATGCAGCCTTCTCTTCTTCAGGCTGAACAACCCCAACTTTCTCAGTCCGTCTTCATACGGGAGGTGCTCCAGTCCCCTCATCATCCTCGTGGCCCTTCCCTGGACTTGTTCCAGCAGTTCCATGTCCTTTTTATGTTGAGGACACCAGAACTGCACACAATACTCCAGGTGAGGTTTCACAAGAGCAGAGTGGAGGGGCAGGATCACCTCCTTCGACCTGCAGGGGTCCATTTTTGCCTTTGTGCATATGAGAAAAAGTACATTGAGGCAAACCACAAAGGCAAGACTGTAGTCCTTGCTTACAGACAAGGAAAACCATCTTCTTCACCCAGCTCCTTCTCTTTGCTTCATTTAAAAGCAGTTGCCAGGTGGTAAACAAAAGGAGGAAGAATGACTTGGAGGAGGAGAGTGCTTCCTGTTTGTGTTTTTGCTTTCTTTTTTTTTTTTTTTTGAGGACTCTTCATTACACTTGGTTTCTTATTTAAAGATAAATAAATAAATTTGAAGGTCATAAGGAACCTTTGGTGTTTTGTTTGCCTTTGTTTCTAGCTAACAATTATATCACCACTTGAATAAACACAGGCCTAACTGTATTCAACAAAAATGGAAGATTTTTTGTGTGTATGCCATGTGCCATTAGGGGAGCTGCTGCTGTAGGAGCTGCTGTGTGTAAAATACAGCAGATACTTAAAATGCAACAAAAACCAAGTGCATGGATGGGGAGGAAGGAAAGTGTTCACTTTGCTTTGACAGGCTAGGTTTGGGCAACGAATTACTGACAGGCCACAGTGCTTTTGAAGCGACATTTTTCACTCTGCAAAAATTGCACCACAGCTTGTTGAAAATGAGATTTAGAAAGGGTTGTGTAGGAATAGGTAGAAAGAAATGGCATAAAGCTCAGGTCAGAGTTCAACTCTTGAGTTGGCTGCAGGTGACTTCAGGTATTGCTTTGTTCATTTTTTTGAGCCACTGTGCTTAAATTACCTGTTACCTGCAAGCAGCAGTCAGCAGCTTCTCTGAATGTTTCTTTTATCAGCTTCCAGTCTACCCCTTTTCTTTGATTTCATGACAGTATCATGCTATGAGAAGGGGCCTCTCATGTTCAGAGGCATAATATGAGGCAGTCGGGGCTTATCTGTAAGAGGCATGTCAAAGTTCAGTAGCCAAATTAAACTGTACTCCATGCTGTGTCCTTTGCATTATTGCCCCAACGCAAGAAATCCTATAAAATAATGTGTTAAATTTTATTCACTGCTTAAGTCTACAGTGTCAACAATGACCAAAGTAAGGACAAATTATTCCATGTCACACATAACAATTAACTATCTTCATGTTGCAGACAAAATCCTAAAAGTTTCAGTTGCATTAGCAATGCAGGCAGGGCTTTGGATCGAGCCTGAGCTGGGAGCTCACTTCCTCCAGCACTTGCTGTGTGAGGCTGTTACAACACCCAACAGAGAACTGTTATTGCTGTCATTTGCAACTGCTTGTTAGTTAAAAAAACACCTCAGAAGATAGTTGAAAATGTTTGAGTGTACCACTTGAACAATGGTGTCCTGTTCTAGGCAAGACAGCCTTGTGCCATGCAGTATTGTTTTCTGTCAGAATAGCAGCTAGCCTTGACTTCTCCAGGTTCTTTCAGGTTTTGGTGTCAAGTCTTTTTAAAAAAACAAACTTCCTTTTGTAACACAAAGAAGGAATTTCCCTTTCTTCCATCCTGTAATTCTAATTCTTACCTCACCTTTTCACTAATTTTCTTGGGTTGACCTTGGTGCAGGGGATTTGTTCTTTCTTAAGCATCACGCTCTTTCATTGGATCTTAGCTGTAAATTTTTTTGGCATTTGCTTATGCATGGTTTGGGGTTCATCTGGTGTTTTTTGTTTGGGTTTTGTTTTTTTTTTAGTAGTTCTTGCTAACTTTGATTCATGTTACATCCATAGGTAGCAAGTTCTGAGTTCTGATGCTTGGAAATGCAGAAGGAAGTACTTGTTTCTCGATTATAATACTCTCTCATTTAATATATTACATGGGAAAATAACAACACTTTCTTCCCCCCCGGTTTTCTGTAGTGGACCAGATCTATCATCTAGCATCTCCTGCTTCTCCTCCAAATTACATGTATAATCCTATAAAAACATTGAAGACCAACACTATTGGAACATTAAACATGTTGGGTAAGTAGAAATCTTTTTTTCTTACTTAACTTGGTTAGACATAATATAACCTGGACAGAGTTACTGAGGAGTGGGGAGGATGGCACATGTGAGTTGTACATTTCAAAAAAATGGTTCTTTAAGAAATATAAGGCAGGGGGTGTCCCTCTTTGTAGACTTTTGTACTTCTTTAAATATATCTACAGATGAACTCTGACAACATGCAAGCTTGGCTGTCAAAGAAAAAGAAATTCCTGCCTGTAACTTGGCTATGGAGTGTGCTGTAATTATAGAAGTCATAGGAACAGGTAAAAGCATGGGATTTTTATAGCAAAGTTGTGTTCAGGACAGCACTTCTCACTTCGATAAAGTGGAACATTCCCACATATACCATGAGTGACTCTTTCTGTCCATCACAGCAAACACTGAACTAGGTCAAACATCATTGGCTCTGTAAACCCTGAACATCAAGAGTACTGTACGCTCTTGTTCATGCCTTGGCTAGCAAATTCTGCAAGAATGTTTAATGTCTGGCTTTGTGCTAGGTAAATTCAAGGCAGCATTTTCAGCTTTGTCTGTTGGTTTGAATGCTGGGGATGGGCCTACTAGTCTTCCTTACTTTTATTTCCTATCTTTTCTCCTATCCGTTTGGCATATCCTGAAACTTGAACTGGTTGTCAGTGATCCTAAGAGTTGTTATGAGGCAAAAAAATGCCTAGACATTAGGTCAGCTGAGTTTCTCGTTTGAGTGGTACTCAACTGAATACAATTCAGAGAATTAAGTGAGTTAGAAGCTACTGAGGTACCAGACAGTTGTACAGCGTAGGTGAGAGATTTCTTTGGTTGGCCATGCCAACTTGAAGGCCAGAAATGGAGTGCAGAATAATCTTGAGTAATGGGTAGGATTATCCAGGCAGTTTAAAGGGGCATAAGAAAGGGAAAATGATTGATTTTTGTCCTATAACGTGTTATTCTGTATGATTTTCTTTATGTAGCTTATCTTTAAGCGTTGGTTATCATAATATATTGTGATGATTTTAAGATCTGGATTTCCTAACTGGAATGATTTATGCTTCCTTGGCCTTTATTTAGGGTGTAATATATTAAGTCCTTGGATCTTGGTTCACTGTAATTTAGTCCCAGAAGTAAACACATCTTATTCTGGGTGCTGCTCCGCTGTTTCTCAAGTTTCCTAGCTTTTGAGTGGGAGCTATGGATGTGATTTACAGGTAGATTTATCTAGTGAGAGAAATTAAATTATCTTTAAAAATATGTAAAATAGAATTGCACTGAAGCAGTTAACATGACTGAAAAATACCTGCACTTGTTCTAATTATGTTGTTCTTTCCCTGGTGCCCAAAATTTAGGGTTAGCTAAACGTGTTGGAGCACGGTTGCTGCTGGCCTCTACATCAGAGGTATATGGAGGTAAGAAGGATAAAAGAGTGTTTAGAGCTCCTGAAATGTGGCTGTGTGAAAGAGTATTTACAAACCATTTGTCAGATGATAGAATGATGAATTTTCATCACTGTCTTAGCCTGATTTCTTTATCAGGTGTACTTCTGTTTAAAATGTAGGCATTAGTACTTGCATTAAATTTCTAGTCAGAGTGGTGGAAGTAGACTTGGACTGTTGTATATAACTTTCCTATGTCTTTCTTTATTTTTTCCAAAGGTCTTGTGCGGGACTTTGAGTGTTGAACTCTTAATTAAAATCAGGATGCCATAATTAAAACCTGTGAAGAAAGAGAATTTCATTAGTAAATCTGCATCTCTCTTTCCATTCATTTATGAACTGTATTGTTACGATTTAGCAATCACTCTGGTGTGTAAAGAGATAAGGACATAACCTCCAAGCCAAGAAAACAGTCATTGTGCTTGCAGGCTCCTGTAGTGTCTTTTAAAATGTAATATTCAGCAATACTACCATATCTTTACATCTTTTACTGTTAGTAAGAAGTTAATTAGTGAGAAAATGACTGATAGAACTGCTAGCTGGGTGCAGGAAGAATCTGAAGAACTTCCTTTGGGCATGTAACAGACTGTGTGCCTACTAGAGAAACTTCCTGCTGTTGTGAACTCTTGCCTAATTGATAACAACAGTGTTGCAAGATTAATGAAGGTATGCAGGCAGAGTCCCCCAGCTCAGCATCAGTAGTTGCAAGAGTCTAGTCTTTAAACCGCATCCAATCAAACAAAAAAATACTGATCTTTGTAACAAAACACAAAGCTTTGTGAGGAGAAAGTGGGGAAGGGCAAAGAACATACCTCAAGGAATGTACTTGCTGTGGATTAAGTTCAGTCAAGAAGATTGAAAGCAAATACCTAAGCAAGAGATCACCAAGATGACCAGCCAACCAAATAAGCAGCTTGAGCCTGTGCAGCATTCCTACTGCCTTCTTTGCCTTTGATTGTCTATAGTCAGCCTACACAGAATAAAATGGTATACCCAAGGACTGCTCTATGAGCAGACTCCATTCTGGAACAGAGCACCAACAGGCAAAAAAGAGCTTGAGTTTTGGAGTCTCTTTGCTCTGCTGCAATCTGTCTGCTGAAGTGGAAACCTGGAAATTTCCGTTATCGGGCTTTGTTGTGTCAATAAATTCAGTGTAGCAGGGGAAGTCTACTTACATTATACTCTGACTAAAAGGGCAAAGTAATTTTGCTGAGAAATGAAGGACAGAAAATACAGTCAGAAAATACGTTAGCTGTTTCCACAGGAGTTCTCAAAGCAGTATTGTATAGAGAGTTTCCATGTGCTTTGTAGAGCTGCCTTTGCCAGAAAGGAGAGAGAAACTGAAGTGGCTTCCAGATTACAACACCTTTTGGGGCCCTATTAAGAATGTTGTATGCTTTTATAATCACATAAAACTTCTCTGCATTTACCATTGCTCTGTGGCTCTCAGCCAGAATTCATCTGTAATCATGTCTCTAAGCAGCGTATGCTTAGGATAAACCAGAAGAGATATAGCAAGTACATTGTGGTACATTTCTTCATTCTTTAAGAAATGCAATACTTCTTTTTTTCCATTTTTATTTCCTTGTTTCTTGTTTTATAAAACTTGAAAATGCTTTACAGTTTTTTCCAAATACAGTAAAAAATGCTGCCTGCATTATCTGTAATATTTCTTCTGGATTACGTTAGATAAGAGTCGTGTTTGTGTCCTTGAAATTGTCTGGTTTTGCAGAGGAGTTAAATTTAATCGTCTGTTCACACACAGACGATTTTTTTTTAGGGGAAAGCAGGTGATGGCTGTTGTTTGCTTGTATTCAGTTATCTCGCTTGCCATGTCTTCTTTAAGTGTCACTTTCATGCTTCCAGTGCTTTAAAGGAATAGTGTTGAAACATATTTTTTTTAAATACATAGTTCAGAGAGAAGCTGTTGAATTATATAGCATTGATGATCTACTGGAAGATTATATATAGTCACCTTTTTGCTAGAAGGTCATTTAAGGTGTTTTATTTTTTCCCATAGATCCTGAAGTTCACCCTCAAAATGAGGATTACTGGGGCCATGTAAATCCAATAGGTCCAAGAGCTTGCTATGACGAAGGAAAGAGGGTTGCAGAGACCATGTGCTATGCATACATGAAGCAGGTATTAAAATTGTATGAGATTCAATGGGTTCTCTGTAATTAATGAAGGTTAAATGTATGGTAAAACTGGAATATGTGCATTTTAGGTGGAAGAGGAGAAATGAGAATGTCTTCACTAGGAAAACTCATACTGTAGTTGCAAAATCCATTTTCTTTAATACAAAAGTTTTATAGCATCCATCTATTGTGTTTTTTTCAGATGAGCAGTGTTCTACAAGAAAATGTGCTTTATTCTTCTTATTAGATGTGTCTTTCAGTATCATAGTTTTTAGACAGGTTAAACTGAGGTGACCTTCCTAGTTTTGGGAGCTAGAGAAGAGTTGTTTCAAGTTGGACCTGTACGGAGAAGGGCTTTGCTGAATAGGGCTATTACTGATAAATGTAGAATGCTTAATGGCATAATTGAAATCAGAATATACAGATAACAATTAGGAACTTCTTCTGTGAGTACCTACATAAGAGCAAAATATTTTAAATCACCTTAGAAATGTTTTTAAATTATGTAAGGATAAATACAGACCTTAATAGAAGATACGATGAATTCTTAGCTATATAATGCACTTTTTCAGACAAATACAATAACCTAAGGTAGAAATACAATTTAAAATATTTGTAAAATTATACATGCCACTTTCTCTGGGTTTCATAATTAACAAGTAGAATCTCATCACTTATTAACCTGGCATCCACTCTTTACCTGTATGTGAGTCATATTTAATTGCTGTCTCTGTGTGTCAAACTAAAGTCATATCACTGTTTCTCAGTGTTTGTAACCTTAATGTACAAAGATACTAATCAAATGTAGTATATTCTGTAGAATAGAAATGATGAAATACTAAGTGCTTTTAAAAACCTTGAATATAGAATTAAATTTAATTGTTAAGACTGTAGGGATAGTGCTTTAGTACAGAGGTGGTAGTAAATTTTCTCTTCTCTTCTGCCAGACAGAGAAGGCAGAGGTTTGTGTCTCCTTTGCTCTCTCTTAAATCGTTTAAGGTCCAGCATGGTGGCACTGCTTTTGTTCAGGATGATCTTCTGTACTTCACTGTAGCAAAATATTCATCATAGGCCTGAATATTGTATTTTTTATGAGACATTATTGTCCTGTAGGGTGTATTTTTTTTGCAAGTTAATGGTACACACTACAGTATTATTTTAGAAAGGCAAGACTGTAGGTCATTTTGAAAATCGTGGACTGTATCTTAAAGCCACAAGATGAGTCATGATACTATACCATAAATTTTATGCAGGATTTACAGGGGACAGTAAAGGTTTGTAAGGTGGAACTGTGGTGCACACATGCATTAAGTGAAAACTCATGATGCAAATGAGCTATGTGTCTTAGAGGCAGCTCTAAGAGTCATTTCTTGTACTTCATTATAGGTTAGTGAAGTTTGCCCAAACATGTCCCGTATTCATATATATTCTGAAACACTGTTGAGCTGGTTTGGGGGGGGTTCTTTTTTTTTTTTTTTTTTTTTTCAGTTTAGATGTTACACTGTTATTAACGGAGGAAACTTTAGGAGGAAAGGTCTGACTTCTATGAAAATAAGTATTACATTTTTAAGAGGATTTTCAGATCGGAGTGACTTGGCCCAAACTAATTGGATTTACATGATTTCAGGCTAAAATATTTCCAGGGTCTTCTCAGCTTCAAAAAGAGAAGAAACAAACAAACTTCTCTCTGTGTTTTGTTGTTGTCGTTTCTTCAAAAGATTTCAATCATCACACACATTCCTATGTACTTTAAATACCTAATCATCTTCCCAAAAAATATAAAATAAAATTTGACTTCTGTATTATAGTTCCAGGCAGGCTGTTTGAATCAGAACAGTTCTTGAATCTAGTCAAAGATGACTCCTTATTCACAGCTGTTAGAATTCCTCAGTAGCTTTTCCGACCAAGACCTTTCTGGTGCACTCTTTTTTGCTGGCAACATTGTTCTTTTCACTTATTTTGACCCTGTGAATTAAGTATTTCTTGACTTCATCTCCTCTTTACACTGCTCTCTCTAAACAAGCCCAGCAGTACTTCCTTATCAAAGAGTCCAAGGGCAGTAGTAGCATTCAGTGCTATGTAGGCATCTGCTTGAAATGAGAGCTGGGGAGTGAAATATTTGCTGAAGAAAAGCAGGGCTCATAAATTCAAAGCACGTACACAAGTTCACCTCATCCCACGTGAGGCACCTGAGTGTGTGGGTTGAGAGAGATATTTGCCATAGGCTGTTGGGAACAGCTCTTCCTCCATAAATTCACAGGAGAGCATAGGTGAGCATGTTCCTTAATGTGAATGGAAGTACCTCCTTCTGGAACTTTTCTCAAGCTACAGGCCGCTTTAGTTCCTTGCCCTTTTCATCGAGGAACAGACTTGCATCCTCTGGTTCAGACCTATTCATAATTCCCTTCTCTTCGTCTCTTTTTCAGTGCTTGCTAAGCACTCTCTCCTGGAAAGCCATTTCCAGTTCACTAAGTGCCTTAATTCAAATGCAAAACTTTGCCACTCAATGCAAAACTATATTTTAACAAGATGCAAGGCATAGTTTTGAAACTCTTATAATAACAGCTTGTCAATCTGTTTGCTTGCTTCTTTCAGTACTCTTATCTTTATTACTATTCTGCCTATCTTTTTCCCTGTCCTCCTGAAGGACATTTTTTGCATAAACTTCATATACAGATGTGTGACTTGCTAAAGATGTGATACCATCACACAGCTAGTAATTTTTCTCCTTCATAGAACTTCTGTTTTACTAGATAAGGTAATACCATCATTTTCCAAAATGAACAGCATTTTCCAAATGTAAGTAAAGTCTTCCTGGGCATGTCCAGGTGGAGAAAATGGGGTGTGTGTGGTAGAGAGATTAAAAGGTAGGAGGGGAGTTTCAGCACATAGTTCTGCAGTGTGAATTTTGTGCCTTGTTCATGAGTTGCCATTCAGTATACATTTAACTTTTTTTAAAATATTGGTTGGAATTATAGAGCTACCTGGAAATCAGAATATTCATGTACCCTCCGTCTCTGGCTTGATTTAAATACTAGTCAGAATCTGACACTTCCTTCATGGCAGGGATCTGGTACTTTTACTTAGGTGTGTTGTAAATACAAATACACAGCACTTTAAACACATAGCATATAAAGGGTGTTTTGTGAACTAGTTTTAATTTCTTATACCATTGATCTGTAAGGAAATTCCCCAGAGCTGAAGCAACAGTTCAGGTCACTGTGGAATGTTGCAGTCAAATCGTTCATCTCCTTCCACTTTCTTCATCTTTTTTTCATATCATCCGTGTGACTGCAAGTGTCAGGGGGAGCAAATGGGCTTAGTCGTACATGTGCTAGTTTTCAAATTGTCTTAGAATGGCTTAGATCTTCCAATTAAGTGTCCACTGGATACAAGCATATAGAAGTGACTCGAGCTATCACAATCAAACATTAATTATAACCTTCTTTTAGTGGAAAAGTGTTATGGTCTGCATTATAGAATGTTTTGTAACCAGGACTGTGGAGGTTCAAGGTGCCAAAAAATTTTAATAGGCAAGAACCTCTAACATGTTAGAATTGAAGTATATTATATTAATGTGAGAGATTAACACATGCAAACTGAAGCTGAATTTTGTTAAATATTGAAGTGCATTGCAACTGCAACAGAAGGGTGATTTTCTGTTCTATATTAACTTGTACTTTCCCCCTAATCTTTAATTCACAAATTGAGTTGGTTGCAGCAATCATAAAAAGCCTTGATGTAAATGTAAGGGTAATGAAAGCTGTTGATTAAATTGCAACTGAAAAGGCATTGAGTAGTGAATGAGATAGATACTGAGTAATAAGATAGAAAGCATATAGCTATGTTGAATTAAAGCAGTTTGCTTTAACGTCTTGCAGGAGTTTATCCTGTATTTCCTAATCATTGCTTGTTGTTTTCTTTCCTTAATATTCAACATAGAGTATATTTAAGCACACAGCACTATTTTTTGGTGTTGTCACATGAAGTTTGCTAGCACTTTGCTTAAGAAAAGCTGCAGAATTGATGTTTTTTGTGGAAAAATGAAATTGAATTGTTTGTGGGTTTGACAGCACAGGAGGAGAAGAGGAAGCATTGCACCTCCTCAGGGCAATGGTCAAAAGCCTAGACAACAGTCCTTTAATGACACAGATGGTAGCTACTGTTGGATGTGTACCAGGCCACAGCTAAATTACAGTGATAAGAGCTGTCATGGAACCCTCTAGCTTTTTAGAAGCCATGAAGAGGGTTTTCATATCCAGAAGCATTATTGAACAAAGGGTGGAGAGGGGAGTCTATAAGATGCTGCAGGCAGTCAGCAACCATGGGCACTGCCTGTGTTGAGTTGAGGTGCTGCAGACCCTCTCACTGCTGACTGAGAGGGCATTGACACCCCTGAAGTGCAGCACCACAACCAGTGTCCCATCCGAGTTGTTACATACAAAGTCGGGGAAATTTAGAAAGGAGTTGTCCACAGTTCCATTCTGCTGCAGTCTGAGATCACACACTCATAATTATATTAGTGTTCTCAATAAATGTGGCAGTTCCATTGAAAATTTCAAGTACTGTTTGTGGTTAGTTGCTTTTATCTTCCTGATTAGCTGGCTCCACTTTGAAAGGGGAAACAGTGCTGCTTTCAACCATTGTAAGTGCATGGTTCACAAATAGGCTTTTATACTTTGGAAAAAAAGAAACCACAGATAAAAATCCTTCATCATAGTTCAATAAAGTTAAATAATTTAGGAATTAAAATCTAGGCTTGTTCCGGTTATGCTTGTACAGTCCTTCTGGTAGTCCTCCCTTTTTCTAAAATCTGCTGCTGTTTTCTCTGCACTATTGGACTAATAGTTCTGCACTCTTTCTAATGAATAATTAGAGCTGTTAAAATTTATTTTGCTGTGTAGGAGCTCTGTGTGTGAACCAGAACATTGTGTTTAGTCCTGTACAAATGCAGAAGTAGCATAGTTTTCCAAAGCTACCTGTGGTAACATTCAGTTGGAGTAATTGAGGTGAAAAGCAGAGAACACTGCAGTAACTGAGACAGTATTCTGAAAATGCAAACTGATGTTTTACTGGGGCATTAGTAATAGGAGTCATTCTCTAAGTGGAGTTTCATTATTTAAGTATCTGTTTCTAAATAGTATTGTTTTACCTGAGTTGTCAGAACTTGCTAATACAGACATAGCATGGATATAATTTAAGGCTTTTTTTTCTGGCAGTGAAACAACACTTTCTAAATTATATGAAAATAAAGCAGGACAAAAGTGTTGGATCCTCAGACCCGTACTCAGACACAGTGGTGTTGCTAGTGCTTTAGTATCTTTGCTGTTTCTATATGCTCTGTACTGTTAACAATTGAAAAGTAACCTTCAACCCCAGATGAGGTGGGAAGATTGTATTGCAGTGATTATCAAAGCTGTGGACTGAACAAATACAGGCAGTCAGCGTGCTGGTGGAAGAGGCCTGTGGCTGTTTACATTGGCCATGTACAGTACATACAAGAGGTCTGTGAACTGAGGCAAGTGTTAGAAATAGGATGTATTTTTAGCAGGGAGGTATAAATAATGGTATGAAGAGACCTCAAAGAGAAGGTGTAGCTTCTCTAATCTGGAAAGCATTGAACTTATAAGCATAGTAGTATTTCAGCCATAAGGTGAGAGTACGGGAGGTATGCCTTGTTTGTGTTCAGAGACTTGCATTATGCCACAATAAGAGTTCAGGTCACTGTGTTTGTCCTTCCTAGCTTGTTTAGGGGCTTTACTGCTTATGAAATTCAGATCTCAGCCTTACTGTTTTTGCAAAACAGTTTTAAAAATCTATTGGTAACCAAAATCTTATTTTGCTAATACAATAGGCAGTACATATGTACTTTGGACCAAGCCTCAGTGTGGAGTATTGTAGCTTAACCACATCGCAGATGGATATTGCTGAATACTGTGCTAGTATGTCTGCTGTGGTTACAATTCAGGGTTTTGGGAACAATCTTGCAAGTTAATTGATGATCTCAGAAGCATGGGAAAGTATGTGAATCAGTAAAAAAGTGACTAAGAAGGCAAGAGATGGCAGCAATCGTAGTAATTCAATAGATTTTTAGCAGGTCAAGGTGATATCCATGCAACTGTCTGGGCTTTCCCTGCTAGGTATTTTGAACCCAGTTGTCTGCTGTAGAAGAGACATTTGCAGCTTTCCCTTTCCTGATATTTTTATGCAGGGCAATCTAGTTCATTCTTGCTGTTCAGATAGGTCCATAGACTTTACAAAAAGTATGGTTAATTAGCAAGAGACTCTTGCCTGATATCCTTATGAATTACAGCTGCAGCTATGTTTGAGCTGTTGCAGTTAAAAGAGCCTCTTGATATTTGAGTTGTAGTCTGTATTGGTATGTTTTCTGGGACAGTCAACATGAGGAGATACCTTTTCTTAAAAGGCTCATAAAATTAAAATGTCTTTTCCAATTAAGGTGATGTTACAGCATCCGTGATGCTTCTGGAGCAGGGACCTGTAGAGCTAAGTGGCAAAGAATCATGCTGAAGACCAGGGGAGACTGGATAATTAATGCTAGTTTTTGACTGACAGCTGTAGAATAGTATTATTCAGAGGAGCTATCTGTGTAAGATATTCTGTAAGTATTCCTTGCATCTTTTCTGTCTTCTCTCTCCATCGCTACAGGTACAGTGTCTGTGAACATGTCCATATTTTAAATGATAGTGAGCTGAAGCATTTTGCTATCCCACAGTGCTGCATTTTATTAACATGTTTTCGGGCTCTTTTTTTGATTGCTCAAGGAATTGCTGTAATTAATTTGCTATAAGAAGGCATAGCCTTAAACCATGGGGACAAAAACCAGTTGATCACTTTTGATCTTAGTGTCAGGGATTACTCACGCTGTCTTTTGTTTAGCAGTATAAATGTGGGACAAAGAAGTTTTTCTTTCTCATATTGTATGTGAATTACTGCTGCAAATCTGAGGAAGTAACTGGCTTCACTAGTGGGACTATGGTGGAGGTGTTCAGTCATGATTAACGTCTTCTTGATATACAGAATGACAGGACATAGGTAAGAGTGTGCCATAAGTATTTGTAGGCAGTTAATACAAAAAGGGGTAAAGTTAATTAGCATGAAAAAAGGATCACTTCAAAAGAGATATTCACAAAATGGTGAAAGAAAACTTAGGGCAATTTTCAAGTTGTTATCTCCAAAGTCTGTCCGTAGAAGAGGGGTTTTGGTTGGGTTTTGTTTTTGTTTTTTTTTAATAAGTAGACAGATCCCACTTTGGCAAGCACAAGTGAAAATTCAGCTGCACAGAAAATAGATTTTTCCAAGCAGTAGGATGCAGAGAAAAGCTTTGCTAGATGACACTATAAATAAAAAGTTCTTCATTTTAAAAGACAACATTACAGTGGGGGAAGGGGAATAAATAGAAGGGAGAAGAAATGCTGGATTCACTGTGGCTGTGAGTAAGTGCCTGTAGAGAATGTGTTGTTTCTCTTTTCTAGATCCCTTGCTAGTTTCCAGCCAGTACTGGAAAACAAGGCTGCTGCTGTAGCTTCTGTAGTACCAGAGAGGCTTTTTTGTCAGCATTGTTTAATGAGCTATTTTTAACTTGAGTACTAGCTTCCAAATGCCTCATTTTCTGTACTTGTTATTAATGGCAGTATCTGGAAAACCCACATGGAACACATTCCCTCCCTGAAGGAGCCAGTGTCCTTTTTAAGATAGAATGCTGGGCAAAAGGAAAAAAGCAGCAACTCTGTCAGAGTATGTATTTCCAGGTACTTGGAAGGCATTGGGAATGGCTCTGCTTCATGCTGCTGGAATTATGTTTGACATGTTACATTGCTGTGCTTTTTTAGCTAACAGGAAATAAAGAATATGTTCACAGCTGATGAATTTTGTGTGGGAAGGGACTCCTGCTCCTTTCAGGGCCTCTCAGCAGGGCCAGGTGGATGTTGTGAGGTGATTTTTTTTGGCTATGTTGTGGACACAAGTTGCTTGTGTAATAAAGACCCAAGACTGTAGCGTTTCCTATGGCACAATAGTTACCTTTCTGGTTACTGTTAGCTTACAATTTAGTTGCAAATATAAACATTTGAAAGCGGCAACTAAAACCTTACCTGCAGTTAAACAGAACTGGATGTTGTTTGGCCTTCTGCATACTAGGAAGTGTTGGGCTTTAAGTATACTACTTGGTATTTCCCATTTCTCAACACCAGTAGCCAAAGTGTTAATGTGCCTTTTGCTTCTCTTTCTCTCATTTGTAAAAAGCTAATGATATTGCTTTCACAAAACTTCTTTGAGGTTTCATGTGTTCATGAATCACTTAGAGACCCAAGAGAGAAGATCAGATTTTCCTGCAGGTTTCTTTTGTACTTCTGAAGTGTGTTTACTTTGAAGAAAAATATGTTTCCAGATTTCTCTTGAATGAAGTGCACGAGCTGCAGCCTTCAGGCACAGATGGACAAACAGTACACTTCTTCCACACACACTCTTGTTGTCCAAGAAAATGGCAAGCATTGGTCTAAGCCTTATTAAAATACCTTAGTAAAAGGCATTGAAAATACAAGATGTTCTGTGAATCCTCCAAAGGAGTAACTGGCTGTTTGCAACTCCAGAGCATTGTGTTTTATGACTTCAGTTTCCTCAGTTGAATCAGAAGCACAAAGTTTGCTTCAGATAAAAAGTGTTTCCTGCGACTGATGCAAAGATGGCTTTTTCTGAGAGGGTGGAGGACGGGGAGTATGAGGAAGATGCATAGGCCTGAGCTGAGGTTGACACCTTTCTCCCTGCCTTGTGGTTATCACTCTTGGATGATAGCATCTATCTGTTTATAGCATACCACACTGCTCTGAACTCATTGGGAGCCAAATGCATGCTTCAGCACACAAAGGCCAAACATCCTTCTTGGAGGCTTTATTGTGAGCTGCGGCTTGTCCAAATGAGTGTTAGTAAACAGAAAATGCCTAGAGAGATTACTTCAGTCCGCAGTCTCTCAGTGTTAAAATGTTTTGACCAGTCAAGTTTTCCAGTTTCACGTATTTGTTGTATTTTGCTTTGAAAAATTGCAGAATATTCTGCAGGAAGGGCTTCTGGAGTGATAGATATGTTTCTTGGAAAAAACTAAGCCATTGAAGAGACCTGGACTGTAATGTGTGCATTTATACAGCCTACGAAGTATCAGGGAGCTAAGAAACATTGTAGCAGTGGTCACAAAGCCCCTTATTTTATGGCACTCATGAAGATACTTATCTGACATGGTCAACTTTTCTGATCTTCAGAAGTGCTACCTTGGTCTGGTGATTGTGAGACTTCACTTATGTGCAAAATATATAGATAAGTACCAGGTGAAATAAGCTGTTGGAAGGGTACTATTGGAAAGTCTTTACGTTCTTGCTGGCTGGAAGAAAATGCACATGCTGAGATCATCAGCTGTTCTAGCACAGATTTAGAATTTGCATTACAAATACTGAGAACCAGTATAAATTACCTTGCTGTACCCACTACTACAACCAGTAGCATTGAGGGGAGTTTAGAAGTTGAAAACAGGTGAGAAAACAATGCTTGTTAAAGCTGTAAGAGGGATTCTTAAGAAGGCTTTTGGAGAGGGAGAATTAATTTGCACTTTTAGGACAAAAAGCACTTTCATTAAGGTAATAACAATTCTGTTTTCTTTGCCTGCAGGAAGGAGTTGAAGTGAGGGTTGCCAGAATATTCAATACCTTTGGTCCTCGAATGCATATGAATGATGGTAGAGTTGTCAGTAATTTTATCCTACAAGCTCTGCAGGGAGAACCACTAACAGTAAGTAATGGCCATTCAGTGATATGAAGAACTGTTTGTCTTTATATCCTATCCTCATGTGCTCTGAAGCAAAATGGATTTTGGAAAACACTGAGGTTTCTTGCCCCCAGACTCACAGAAGTCTGGAGTCAGTGCTGTTCTGTGGGAGGCAATATTGAGAGCTTTTTTTATTACTGCAACCACCATGCTGTCTAGACTTTATCAAGAATGCAATAGAGGATAAAATAGAATATTTTGCACAACATCACCATTTTGTAGGAAGTAACTGTCTGACGTTGAAAATTACTGAATATAACGAAAGGACTAAGGGGAGAGTTTTTTAGCTGCTCAGGTCAAGTAAAATGAATTATCAGCAATAAGCAGTAGTTGCGAGGAAAAAAAAAATAAATCCCCTTTTGTATCATCACAGAACTTGGCTGACAGGAGTATCAAGTGTCCACCTTTCTAGAAACTGAATGAACTCAATCTCTTTGTTTTCTCAAGAGATTATTTACTCCATTTGAACCATCTCTTTAATTTGAAGATATTCTAGCCTATGCAAACACACCCATTTATGCTTTGTATTATTGTAAAGGAAGGGTTTATTAAGAAAAATAAGGAGATACCAAAACAAATTGGGAGGAGGAGGAAACTACACTGTATTTTCTAGCCATTGCCTGCAAATAAGAAAGGTAGCCACATAGATGATTTTGCAGAAATCATGCACAAATGACTTAGTTCTGTAAAACTGACCCTACAAGCTAAAAGAAAACAAGCAGAAAGCTCTATTTATGTACATAAAATCTGCGTCCTGTTTGCGTTGGGAGTCCATCAGGCCATCAGTGTGCTTTCCTGGTGCATTCCTCTCAGAATCAGTTACTGGGCAAACTCTCAAACCCCTGATCTTACCCAATACCTGCTAAAATGTGAACACCTGATTCTGTATCTGCCTCAGAGAGCAGCAGGTTTACCAAGTGACGAACGATGATGTGTATACTAATTGTATTGTCTTTCCTGTCCCCTGGGAAGACAGAAATGCCTTCTGTCCTGTCCTTCGAAAAACCTTCTTTGCTGTAGCAGGTTGATAAGATGTGTGTCCCCCCAGTTAACCTTCAGTGCTTTCACCACTTAAATGTCCCTGTTAATAGCCTTCACAATCTTCAGTATTCATGTTCTAGGGACTTTAGTACAGCAGGCTGGAACTGCTTCCACAAACAGTGGAAAAAAAATAATGTTATCTGATACCATTATGTACACTGCAAGTATACTTTAATGTCTGGTTGAACTTCAGCATGTTTCTTGCTCCAAAGTGCCAGTGCATAACCTGAGAAACCTTTTTATTTTTTTTCCCTCTTAAGATTTTGGTATGAGTCTGTAGAGGTGACTTTGGGAGTCTCATCCTGTAGAAATTATTCTACCTCCCATTTCCCCAAATAATACTGTTTAGAGCCAGGCGATCCCCCCTCCCCTCCCCTGATTGCTTTAAATGCTTACAGTATTGTGGGGGGTTTTTTTACTTTTTTTTTAGAGACCACTAATATTTGGTAGTCTCTGAAGTTGGCTGTTGTTAAGAGCAAATAAAAATTGCTAATCATAACCACTTCTTAGTAGTCTGAGTTTGCTTTAAACATTTGGCTCTCTTTTCTGGCTGCGTGTATGCTGCAGCTTCTTCCAGTATTTCAGGAGAGGACAAACCATGCCTCTGTCCTACATCCCTGAGTATGTTTCCTACATGCAGAGTTCTGGTTAATAAAATGCCTACAGATCTGTTTACTGGAGCCATGTCTGAGAGGAGGAAGACCTTCAAAGAACTGATACTTTGCCAAAGGCTCTGCAGGCACATCTTTTTCCATTCCTGTAACATTGAGCTTGTGTCTCGGGTGTTTGTCCTTGGGACATTTTTCTAGAGTGGTGAGGAAAAGGTAATTGGTCAACAGAGAACTTCTGTGTTGATGTAACTTTTTTAATTTTCATCTGGTTTTAGGTCTATGGACCTGGAACTCAGACGAGAGCTTTCCAGTATGTCAGGTAAGCCTTGTTTGTAACTGTGTGATATTTACTTTACTTGATGGTTCTTTGAGCTTGGCCAGCTTTGCATGCATGTACATTTTAGTCAAAGAAATTTTGTTTATTCTTAGGCCAGATTTACTTTCAGAAGGGAGACACAGAAGCTTTTAAAAGTACCAAGAAACAAAACGTTAGCTGGTTTAGAACTTTGAATTGAGATATTAATGTGTTCTTCCTGTCAAGAGACAGCCAGTTAATGGGTAGGTAAGCTTTTCATGCTGAGCAGTTTGCCACTCCTTGCGTTTTAATGCAATACTGCCACCTCGTGTCTTTGGGGGTGTTGTGATCAGTGTGTACGGTACATTCACATGTCCCCATCCTGGGAACAGAACCTTCTGAGGGGGTATTTGTGGTGTTAGCAGTACTGCAATGTACTTTGATACGAAAAAGAGAATCTGTTCCTCAGAATCTTCTGTCATGCTAACTAAAAATCCATGCCAGGCTTCTGGGTTGGTTTAATGATTCTCTGCTTAAGACTGTTCTTTCCCTCTGCTGAAAGTAATAACAGCCAGTAACAGACATTGTGGAAACTCCGTCAGTTCGAAGTAGCCACTTTGTTCCTGATTATAAGTCATAACGAAAGGGATCTGGATTTGTATGTCCGGGAGCAAGTTGCTAAGCTTGTTGCTGATAATCCAAAATAATTTTGGATTATTTTGCTGGAGGGAGGTAACACCAAATGCTCCATCCTTTCAGTGTTCAAGGCCAGTTTGGAGAGGGCCTTGAGCAACCTGATCTGGTGTGAGGTGTCCCTGCGCATGATGGGGGGAATTGGAACTAGATGATCTTAAGGTCCCTTCCAACCGAAACCAGTCCATGATTCTGTGAAATACTGTTTTTTAACAAAATTGGTTTAAGAACTTATGAAACAAGTAGACAATTCAAACAACAAACTGCAAGGAAAGGGAAGGGGAGTGTGTCATGTTCCTCTGTATTACAATTTGTTCTGTTTGAAATGTGTTGGAAATGGCCCTTCTAAATATGCTTGGATGCTGGAGGAAAGAAGAAGTTTTAATTGTGTTTTGGTAATTTGATTTTATTTTTTTTTTCAGTTGTCTTTGATATGGTCAGGTGAACTATAGACACTTCATCCCAATGATAATTACCCTTTCAGACTAACCTCCAGTTCAGTACATCAGCAGGGACTGTGGAACAAACAAGAAAGCATGCACCCATTGAAATATACACTGTATATACACTGCTGCCTGATCTGCTTTATTGGAGCTCTGAGGAGGCAGCTCTCTTTTTAGACAAGAATATTATTTATAGGGAAGTGGAAATTGCCTCAATCTGTTCTTCCCATTTTATAGCGATCTTGTGAACGGGTTGGTGGCATTGATGAACAGCAATGTCAGCAGTCCTGTCAACTTGGTGAGTATGAGACCTCCACTCTACTGTGTTTACTGTGCAGTGGCCAACATCACCTCTGTTTCTCTCCTTGTCACTGTTGCTGATTTCTAGAAGAAATAAATGGAGCAAAAAGGTTCTTTCCATTAGGAATAATATATTCTTCCATGTATTCTCTTTATAAGTAAGTCCCTAGATGTTGTGACTTTACAGTTCCAAGAAAAGGCTAAATGGATACATTTTCTAGAATTTTTCATTTGTTTTAGCAAAAGATTTATGTAATTAGAATAATAAAAAAAAATAATGGAAAAAACAGCAAACAAAAAAAAACCAAAACATGGGGGACATGCAGAATACACTAAGAATTGTGTGGTATAATTTTCTAACATTGATTAAGGCTACTTAGAACTTAACTTTTCTAATAAAATTTTTGTTCTCTCACCTTACTCTCAGCAGTGGATACAAGAATAGAAAAAGGATGCATATGCTTGGTCATTTCTGTGTAGGCCAACTTTTGCCAGGTCAGACATTCAACTCTGCAAGGCAGTTAGTTGTTCACTAGATTTCCTTTTTTACTGTGGTCAGGAATTCATTTCTGTATTTCCATCCAATCAAACCCCATCACATTTTGTCTCCAGAAAACTCAGTGTTTAAATCTATGTGTACCTAGATATTCAGCTGTAAGTCAAACAAGATATAGTAAAGAAGAGTTTTACAACAAGAAAAGCTAAGGATGGAGGGAATTAGTTTTGATGAAGGTGAGCTAATGCGAACAGTAAGCTTTTCATTTAGTGTTTTGTTCTGAAATGTTGATCTGGAGTTCACATGCAAGTTGTTTAGAGAAAAAAATAAGGAATATTGTATAGGCAAGCAAGTAGTCCTTATACATACTGATACGTAAGCTGTAGGAAATGTGGAAGCAATTGTTAGCGGCTAAATTAGTTTGGTTTCCTAACTTTGGATGAAGTGAGAATTTAGCATACTTCATTATATCATCTGTCCTCCACTCAGCAAAGTCCTTGAATCCAGATTTCAAACTGTGATGTAGTTGTGTAGGCTGCTGAGTGGTATATGCCTTTACTGTGATGGAAGTGCATTTGCCCATTCTTTACAGCCTGATTTTCTTTGGATGCCCCCCCCCCCCCCCCCATACATTGAATTAGCAAGGCAAATGTAATGGAAGGCAACTTTTCTAAGTATGGAGCTTGTCAAAGTTAATTTTTATTTTTTCATCAGAGTAGGAATAAAGCATAATGTTTACCTCTTTCACAGTTTTACATGACCCTGTTGGAATCATGTCAGAAATTAAGTTAATTGTTATTGTCATGAGTATCCCTTCTATTTCCAGGGAAACCCAGAAGAGCACACTATCTTAGAATTTGCTCAGTTAATTAAAAAGCTTGTTGGTGAGTATGATAAGTAATTCTTGGTAAAGCATATGAAGTACTTATTGTTGTTAGATGATTATTACTTGATTAGTGTGTGTAATATGTGGATTGGTCTTTGTAATATATGTAATTGGTCTTTGGATTAATAATTAATAATTTTATCAAAGGCATGTAATTGTATCCCAATCATATAATTAAATATTACTAAAATAATCCAGATCCTCTCGATTAGGTGTAAAATATTGTATGAGCAGTAGGATTAATACATTCTTTCCTGTGTATCTGTGCAATCTATACAAATCATTTTGTATAATGTTTATGCATTTTATCTTTGTTTTGGTACAAGGACATACCTAAATGAAATGTAAAATACATGAATGAAAATGTCTTGCATAATATCTCAGCTGAAATACAGATATTCCAGCAAGGTGGTTCTTCACAATTATGTAGGCTGTTCTCAAACTACTACTAAAAACCTCATGAGGGTGTCAGCACCTTTCTGGTATGTGTCTGGGAAGAAAACACTGGATTTCTCTTCATTCCCGCTCTGATATCTGTAGCAAATCAGAGCTCTCAAGAATGGAAGTGAATGGCTATGTTTAGTCTTTTAATGTGGCTTCCTAATGAGATGAAACATACTGATTAGCCAAGGATTTTCAGTCTGTAGATTCCAGAACTGCTTCTGAGGGATCTGAAAAAGACAAGTTCAGACATACAGAACAGAAGCTGCTGCATGTGATGTTTCTAATAGCAGATTGTCCCCTCTGGAAAACTTCTATGAATCCACAGATCAGGGAAGGAAGTTGAAAACCACAGCGCCAAACCCATCAGGCACGTAGAATAATTGTTGTCTCTTTGTTGGCAAACAGCTTGATCTGCTTCATTCTGCTCAGAGAGGTGACTTTGGAGAAGGCTCTGAGGTTCTTAATGACTTTTGTCTCCATCTTCACTGGCAAATGCTCTGACCACACCACCCAAGCCTTGGAAGGCAGACGCAGGGACTGTGAGAATGAAGACCCTAGGCCCACTGTAGGAGAGGATCTGGTTTGAGACTGTCTTAAGAACCTGAACGTACACAAGTCCATGAGACTTGACGGAATCCATCCACAGGTCCTGAAGGAGCTGGCAAATGAAGTTGCTAAGCCACTGGCCATCATATTTGAGAAACCATAGCAGTCAGGTGAAGTTCCCGATGACTGGAAAAAGGGAAATGTAACCCCCATTTTCAAGAAGGGGAAAATGGATGAGCCAGGGAATTACAGACCAGTCAGTCTCACCTCTGTGCCTGGCAAAATCTTGGAGCAGATTCTCCTGGAAGGCATGCTAAGGCACAAGAAAATCAACAAGGTGCTTGGTGACAGCCAGCATGGCTTCACTAAGGGGAAGTCCTGTGTGACCAATGTGGTGGCCTTCTATGATGGGGCTACAGAACTGATGGACGGGGTAGAGCAGTTGATGTCATCTACCTGGACTTGTGCAAAGCGTTCAACGCTGTCCCACACAACATCCTTGTCTCTAAACTGGGGAGACATCAATTTGATGGATGGACCGCTCGGTGGATAAAGAACTGGCTGGATGGCTGCACACAAAGAGTTGTGGTCAATGGCTCAGTGTCCGGCTGGAGACCAGTAATGAGTGGTGTCCCTCAGGGATCGGTGTTGGGACCGGTCTTGTTCAACATCTTTGTCACTGACATGGACAGTGGGATTGAGTGTGCCCTCACCAAGTTTGCCGATGATACCAAGCTGTGTGGTTCGGTTGATACCCTGGAGGGAAGGAATGCCATCCAGAGGGACCTTGACATGCTTGTGAGGTGGGCTGATGCCAACCTCATGAAGTTTAACCATGCCAAGTGCAAGGTTCTACACCTGGGTCGGAGCAATCCCAGGCACAGCTACAGGTTGGGCAGAGAAGAGATTCAGAGCAGCCCTGTGGAGAAGGACTTGGGGGTGTTGGTTGGTGAGAAAATGAACATGGGCCAGCTTCAGTGTGTGCTCGCAGCCCAGAAAGCCAACCGTATCCTGGGCTGCATCAAAAGGAGCGTGACCAGCAGGTCAAAGGAGGTGATCCTGCCCCTCTACTCTGCTCTTGTGAGACCTCACCTGGAGTATTGTGTGCAGTTCTGGTGTCCTCAACATACAAAGGACTTGGAACTGTTGGAAGAAGTCCAGAGGAGGGCCATGAGGATGACCAGGGGACTGGAGCACCTCCCGTATGAAGACAGGCTGAGAAAGTTGGGGCTGTTCAGCCTGGAGAAGAGAAGGCTGCGTGGAGACCTCATAGCAGCCTTCCAGTATCTGAAAGGGGCCTATAGGGATGCTGGAGAGGAACTCTTCATTATAGACTGTAGTGATAGGACAAGGGGTAACGGGTTCAAACTTAAACAGGAGAGGGTTTGGTTGGATATAAGAAGGAAATTCTTACCTGTTAGGGTGATGAGGCACTGGAATGGGTTGCCCAGGGAAGTTGTGAATACTCCATCCCTGGTGGTATTCAAGGCCAGGTTGGACAGAGCCTTGGGTTGACATGGTTTGGTGTGAGGTGTCCCTGCCCGTGGCAGAGGAGGTGGAACTAGATGATCTTAAGGTCTTTTCCAACCCTAAGTATTCTATGATTCTTAGTTCTACATCCATAAAATCCCATGGTAATATGGCATATAAACTATTTGCTAGATCTGGTTAGAGAAATAGGTCTGTTTCTGTGTATTGTCATGAGGAAAGGCAAGTACTGTGTTGGCTGAGGCTAGAGAGTATGGGCAAAGAGGAGGTGAAGTCCTACAGTGCAGAAGTGCTAACAGTCACAGAATTGTTGAGGTTGGGAGGAACCTCTGAAGATCATTTGGTCCCAACCCTTCTGCTCAATCCAGGCCAACTACAGTCAGCGGTGGCTCAGAATCATGTCCGGACTCCATCTGAGTATCTCCAAGAATGGAGACTCCACATCCTCACTGGGCAACTTGTGCCACTGCTTGGTCACCCTCACTAAAACAGCATTTCCTGATGTTCAGGGGAGGCCTCATTTTGTGCTCATTGCCTCTGGTCCTGTCACTGAGTATCACTGAAAAGAGCCTGGCTCCTTCTTCTCTACTCCTCCTGTCAGGTATTTTCCACATGGATAAAAGTCCCCTGATCCTTCTCTTCTCCAGACTGAACAGTCCCAGCTCTCTCAGCCTGTCCTCACAGGATAGGGGCTCCAGTCCCTTCATCTTCATGGACCTTTGTTGGACTTTCTACAGTATGTCCATGTCTCTCTTGTACTGGGGAGCCCAGAACTGGTGTCAGCACTTCAGGTATATCACACTAGTGCTGAGTAGAAGGCAAAGGCACATGGCTGGCTAACATGCAAGTTAGTGTCCACCTAGGACCTACCTGAGCAGTCATTTTGTCATAGAAGGTTATTTGACTGGTCAAGCATAACTTCCTTTCTGTGAATCCATGTGGAAATCTGTGTGAAATGCTTTGTGAATCCATGTTGCTGTGGAACAACTGATTCACCCAGCTGTTGCATGCAGTGCAGCTATATCTGTGGAAAGCAGTGCAGTGGTAGAATTACGAAGGAGAAAGCTGCAGAAAGACCTGATGCTCCAATAGGTAGGAAAGATGTAAATGTAAAGCATAGTGAATTGCAGATGATAACACATAGTCTCTTGTTTAATAGGCAGTGGGAGTGAAATCCAGTTTCTCTCAGAAGCACAGGATGACCCTCAGAAACGAAAACCTGACATCAGAAAAGCCAAGTTATTGCTTGGCTGGGAACCTGTGGTACGTACAGCTGTATTACTGTTGTGTGCAGAAACACAGGGTGGCAGAGGGGGATGGAGGACTACATTATTATGATACATTTTGGTTATCAGGATATCTGCTTAACACAATCTCCAGGACAGTTGTTCAAAGGGCTGTCTCTCATATCTTGCCCTAGCTCATGATTCAGGAGCTGCTGGGCAAGATTCTATGGCTTGTGCCATGCAGAAGAGCAGATCAGCATTAGCATTTGTAATATATTTAAGTAGGAAGAAAACATTATATAGATAACCGTTTTAACTTTTTCACATGCATGATATGAAGTGTCTGCCTTTCTGTAAGCCAGTTGAATCCTTTGAAATACGTGGTACACAGTTATGGGAGATAATGAGTTTGCTGCTGTTTTGCTGTCATCCTCATTCCTGTTTTGCTGTGGTAACATGCCTTATGGAAGGGGAAAATTGCATTTATTTAATTAAAATATTTTTTTTTACTTTTTTGGAGTAAGACCATTTTTAAGATTACCCATAACAACATTACAACCAAAAAAAGTTTTATTTGGATTGATAGGGAGAAATATGAGCACCAGAAAAATCTTGTGGCTTTTAGAATCTGTTTAAAGGGAAATATGTGGAGCTCAAGCAAAACAGAAGCTAGCCATGGAGATGACACTTACTATTATTTATTTTTTTATTCTGTTGGACTGAAGTAAACCCAAATAAGAAGCCCTTATTTTGGACTACAAGTATCACATGTAGAGGCTTGTTCTGAATGTTGGTCAGCTTGAAATATGCTCATGATTAGCCTAACATCTCACCACCCACAATAATGTCTGTCCACCTCTAGAGCTTCGTTACCAGCCACCTGAGGTGATGTTAAGATTGTGGTGGTTCTGCATAGCTAATACGCAAGATACGCAAAACACCCATGGTTGCTGGTTTTTCCTTTCTCAGTCTTTTTGGTGAAGTTAACTGTATATAACCAGGCATAGCGGATGATAAGAGCTGGTTTCTTTGAGGAAGCAAGGTCTACTTAATTCCCAGAAAAGGTGTGACTTTCTTAGTTCCCTTCCTAGCTAGCACAGTGGTTTTGTAGTCTTTTTTAGATTTGCAGGCAAAATTCTTTCCAGGAAACGTGAACCTATCTAGTAAATGTAAGGCTATCAACAGAAAAAGGCAACTCCAGACCATTCTGAAAAAGGATTCACACAGGTACCTGTTATAAATAGACTGTGCCTGAAAGCACAAGGACCAATGGCAAGTGTTCCAATCACAACAGGTTTAAAACAGTTAACATTTTACTTCTGATCTTCTGTGTTTGGCACAGTCAGTAACAAAACTTACTCTGAAATAGCAGTTGCAGTGTTGGTACATCAAGGCAAGTAGTTCTTGTGCTGTTATTTTATCCTCCTGTATTGATGATATCAGTGGGCATGTCACAGCATATGGCTCCTGAGAAAAGTGGGTAGTATTTCTGTTGTTCCCATATGTAAATCATAGTGTGTAAATTACAGACATAGAATATGAAGAATTGCAATTATTTGTATAGGATTTAAGGACACCAAATGAGATACTGGATGATAATTTATATCTCTTTTTCTGTATATCAGTGGAGCACTGAAGAAGTAAAAACAAAAATTAAAAACAAAAACCAAACAAAACCCACCACCTTTATAACCAGTCTGAGATTCTGTGAAAGAGGATCTTCAGTCATTAATAACAGAAGGGGCTTAAATTTCTGCATGCTTGTCTCTTTCAGTGCATTAGGAATTGAAGGTAGAATTATGTGTAAACAGATCAATCATAACCACTGATGGAGATCTAAATTTGTTGGAGATTTTTACTATGTCAGAAAATATATCTGACTTTTAAAAGCTAACACGCATCAGCATTGCCAAGAAGTAACCAGAATGTGGTGCTGTTAATACATTGCCAGAGAATGAGACTTCTAGCAGTCTTTTGATAGCTGTATTAAAAAAGATGCTGTTGTGAAAAGGGCTGATGTGAACTCAGAGTGATATGATTCTCTCCTTGCTTTTGGGAACAGGTCCCACTGGAAGAAGGTTTGAATAAAGCAATTCATTACTTCCGTAAAGAACTTGAGTATCAGGCAAACAATCAGTATATTCCCAAACCAAAACCCGCAAGGATGAAAAAAGGAAGAACAAGACATAACTGAAGGCTCTTGGTTGGACAGGAAATTCCTTGCTTGACATTTGACAGATGTAATTTTTTGTTTCTTCTTTTATTTTTTTTATTTTTTTTTATTTGAGAGACTTTGAAACACAGGTATCATGAAGAACAAACTGGAATTTCATTCTGAAGCTTGCTTTAAAGAAGTGGATGTGCCTAAAAATAACAGATATTCCCCTCCCCCCTGCAAATCTTGCCTTGCACTTTTTAAATCTGTCTTTTTATGTAAAATAGAGTAGAAGCATCTTTTAGTATCTTCAAGTTTTATATCTTGCTGTGAGATCATTTTGTTGTGACTGTCCTTGACAGTTTTATTTACTGGTTTCTTTGTGAAGCTGAAGATAAACACAAATGGGATGGAAAATGCCAATTTATTTATAAAATGGGTACTATAAAATATGAGATGTTCTACTATGCATAAGAAAAAAGGTAGTGGTATTGTCAGGTGAGAGACACTGATGTCTACATATAGAGGAATTTAAAAGAATTCTGTATGAGAGCTTTATGTATTCTTTAAAGGAGAGATTTTTTTCAAAGGTTTAGTTTTAGTTGTACACTCGAATTTGAGATATTTTCATTGATTACCATGGATAAGGATATTTTGAATCACTACTGTGTTGTGCGTACTCTGGGAATAAAGTTAATGTATAATTGGTTACAGTGGTTGAATATGCTATTTTAATAAAATATTGAAACTTCTCTTTACTGGTTTCGGGGTTTCACTGTGGGCACTTCTCTAGCATTACACATCTGTGCATTCATTGTGTATTAATTAGAAAGTAAGTCTGTAAATAATTAGCTCAAAGTTAGTAACTTCAGGTTTTCATTGCTTGTCTCTCAACAGATACACAGGAAGGGCTGCAGGATCTCTGTTGAAATAGATTGGCCAAAACCATTGTGATTTATTCCAAATCAGGTAGTTGATAGTGATGCAGGAGTATAGGACTTTCTTTAAACTGTAGAGTCTAAGTGCAGCCTCTCTATCTGAGGAACTGTTTTCATGTTAAGCAATTACTGAATTGCCAGTAAATGCTTTCAAACAAAAAAAAAAAGCAAGCAAATAACAACCAAAAAAAACCAAACCCCCACCAACCAAAAAGATCCAGTTCCTTTTATTTTTAATAGTTCCTCTTTATTTTTAATCTAGGAGGGGGGATTGGTAGACAGTTTCTAAAAGGTATTTTGGCTTAGTGCCACTTCAAAATCCTAAATTGTAGCAAGCAAAGTGATTTGACTTTATCTCATTGAAGTTTGATGTTTTATTAGCTTTTGATTATCTTTAGAGTGATTGTCAAAGTGGGAGTTACCTGTAGTGCTGATGTGATGCCCTGACCTAGGGAAGACTCTACAAGCAGTGTGGTGTTTAGGCCCCACTGTTTGAGCACGTCATGAGTCAGAGCCTCCTGGTGCTTGCAAGGCTTGGAGTCCCATCCAGTCTGTCTGGTAAAGTTCCCCAAGGACTCCAGCAATGATGGGCCTGCCAAGTTTGTTTGTGTGCCCTGTCTGGGTTGGGTCTGCGGCAAACCTTTCAAGACAAAAGTTTCTTCCCTGCTTATGTGCACAAGTTTTCTTCTGGTGGAAGTGTTGCGATGTAACTAAGATGGGGAGCCAAGCACCATTTTTCTGTCTGGACTCAGAGGTAGAATTTAGACATTACACATTGCCTTCATCTTTTCCATAGCTGAGCAGCTTGAAGTCTGCTTTTTTGTTTTAAGCCTTTTTCTAGGTACTACTTGATCTGGACATTTATTCCATATTAAATTGCCTGAAAACTACACCGTGGTGTGCATACTCCAAATGTGCCTATAAACTGCCATTACTGATACACAGTGCACAAAGCACAGCCTCTCCTTATACTCAAAACTACAGCTGTATATATGTGCAAGTAGTGCCCACTTCACTAGTTCTGTGTTGAGAATTGTTCATCTGCTCCCAGCACGGTGGTTTTAACCCTTAAGATCATGTCTAGGAGAAGGTGCTTTTTCTCCTTGTGTTTTACTCATGCAAATCGTGCCATTGGATGCCAAAGCATCTCTGAAGAGGTGGTGGACAAGGTTAGACTAGTCTGACATTTAGAGCAGCCATTGAGAATAAATGGGAGCTGTGTTTACTAGCTGTTACTTCCAGAGCTGGTTTTCGTTTGATGACATCTTCAGTGCAAAATACATACACTGTACTGGAACAAGTATGCTTCTCAAGATGCCTTACAAAGTCTGAATGTTTGGATGCTACAGAGGAATTTAAAAGCTTTTTAGGTTACTTTACAGCCTGACTTCCTTCATAAAAAAGCAAGTCAGAGAGAGGGCAAATGGCTGATACCAATGCAACTGATCTGTAAGTGTGTGACATGCATCCCACTGGGCCTGAGCAGCAGGCTGTATCGATTTGCTACTCTCCTTGTACTGTTTCTAGCTTTTGTTTCAGAAGCTCTTGGTTCAGTTCACATCTTCATTTTAAATTGTGTCTTCCAGAAACAGCAGCTGAGGCATCTGTTGCTGCTCTTCATATCTGAAGCCAGTGACCAGCCTAGCTGATTCGAAAGGCATGAATTGTGGCTATTAAAACAGACTCCTCAGGTGCTTAAGACTGAAAGTCTGGGGTAACTTCAAATTTTGTCTGGTCTGAATTGAGCCTTTAAGAAGGCAGATACTCTCTGCTCCCATCTGGGGTTATACATCTCAGTAGGAGAAGGAAGTAATCATGTTTGCAGGGAACCACAGGTAACAAACAGCGGCTGCCTTGCCAGAAGAGGCACTTCTGTTGGACAGCAGTTGAATACAGCACTGAAAGCTTGGAAGCATAGGAGTTGGGAGTAAATGAAGCTGAGACGTGTTCTCATTTCTGTGCCAGAACACAATGTATTGTAATTGGGGTTTTTTTCAGGAAATCTGAGAATTGGGATTTTCTGCTGACACCTGGGCAAGTTAAAACTAACGTGACATATAAATGGATGCATTGAAGTGCCTATTTAGTCATAGTGATCTGCATGAACAGGCTGCTCAGCTGGTGTGAGATGCATGTCCTCCTCTCTTAGTACAGAATATGCAGTGTAGCAGAGGTCTCTGGTGAAATGGCAAGCTTGGTGCTGGCGAGTGAGATCAGCCTTCTAGATGTATGCAAGGCATCCAGCACTGTGGGTTGCTTGAACCTCATAAGAAGGACTACTCTTGCTGCTGGAAGTTACCATAGTGTGAGACCCACAGTTGGATTTTATAATTTTTTTAAAACATGATGTCCTGTTGCTTTATTTCTACATGTAGGCTGCTCAGGAGCACTGTAAAACACATTGCTGGTCTACATACAAGCTATAGTGGGGCTTGAAGACCAAATTTATTTCAAGTAGTTCCATGAATACATGGAGTCTCGTGTCTATCTTTATGTTAGATTTTTTGCTGTATGGGGAAATCATGATCATGATCTGATCTGACAGTCTTCCTGTGTCTAGGGTGGTTGCAGTTCTAATGTATATGGACACGGCTGGTTTTGTAGCCAGTGAGCTCATTGCCCTCTGGCATTTATGAATGTCTCTGTCATCTATTTTTTAATGCATTTCCAGGAATATAATATATTTGAAAAAAAACTTTCACTTCAGTCAGTGTTAGAATTGAGTTTCAGAGTTGAGAGAAAGAGGCAAGGGAAAAAGGGGAAGGCGCACAGTTGCGTAAATTCATTAGCCTTAGAGAACAGGATAACAGAGGACAAACCAGAGCTTTGATTAGTGTGATAGATTGAGCTAGTCCCCAGTCTTCCTAGTATTGAGTTAACGCTGCTTGAGGCCAAGAAGTCCTTGAGGATTGTTAGGGCCTGATCAGAGAAGACCCATAAACGGGAAGAAGTGCTTTGTTACTAGCAGGGGAAGCGTGTACTCAGCATTGCTGGTCCATCTGTACAACCCCTCCCAGAAATCAGTGGGAATGCACCCACTACAAATCTGTAGTTGCTCTATTGCGAATGTATCCCTGTGCTTGGATCAAAAGTGGCAGCAGAAGAGAATGCCCTGTTTGAGGCTCTAACTCAGAGCTACCAGGAACAGCAGCAATTGCTCTGGAGAAAAACATGGTTCCTCTTGTATGGCAAGGGGGTTCCCAAATGTGATTCCGTAACAGGGAGGTTTTTCTGAAATAACACTTCATATTTCTTGCAAAAAAAAACAAAAAAACGGACCGGTTCTCTAGTCCTTTTCCTATTCCCTTTCCCCACTCTCACTTGCCTATCCCATAATAACAAATGTGGCAACAACTTCTCGTCCACCTTGTTTTGTTTCCATTTACAGGCTGGAACAGGCATCAGCTGGTCCATGCTTGCTTTTTTCCCTAGTTTCTGACACGCTTCTCTGTAGTGAGAGGGATCCTCTGAATCCCTTGGCCATGCCATGGCTGAAGCAGCTGAAAGGTCCAAATCATGAAGCCACAGGGAACTTTGGGGTGGCCTGAAGTGCTATCAAAGCCAAGGGCAGCAATCTGGGCTCTGCCCCACTGCAGAGAAAGCTGCTTTGAGCAAGGAAACCTGCATCTTCCCCCTGGAAAGCAGTCCTGTGAATAAAGCGCCCGGTCCCTCACCCTCAACATTTTTGTGTTACAAATAGGAACTTAAGGGGAATTAAGACCTTTCCCACCGTGGGATGGCTGGGGATAATGATGATGCGAAGCACTCTGTGCTGTCTTGCACAGCATAGTGGAGAGGCTGTGAGGGGATGCACAGTTTTTGTCTGTGTTTTGGGGCAGAAAAAAAGTTGACAGGAAATTAACTTTGTTAATGTAGTTAACTTAGGAGCACTCCAGCATACTGCCAGACTTTGCTTTCTAATGATCTTCCTCCTTTTGCCCAAACCTGTGACAGATCGCACTTGCTTTCTCTGTAACTTATTGCATGTGCTTTTGCATCATCACCACTGCTGCATCGCACTGCAGGTGCACCCCTCTGCAAGAAGGTGGGTGCCCTCTCCTCAGAAGAGAGAGATCGTAGCTTTGTGAGCCTGCAAATCACAGAGAGCTGCTGGGCTTGAGTCAGTCTGCAGGAACAGACACAGCTTGCAAAGGCCTTGGAAGAGCTGGTGTTTATTTACAGCACTTTATTTTTCCCTGTTCAGCAGGTCTGTATTCCCAATCATCGTAAATTCTGGGAAATGATGGAAATGATCAGCATGGTTCAAATGGCACCAAATTCCA